TGTTGAAGTTCTGTGAAAACTAGTTACTATAGCCGAGACTAATTAGAGAATCTATCGAAATTGAGAGAAATAAAACATATTTTAACCATTCGGATAGCTACAGACTTAGTGCTGCTTGGAAGCGAATCATCAAATAATACCTGTGTAGTGTAGTAGAACGACACTACTACTGTGCTGGCTCGGTATGGGGGCTGTAGGCGGGTGTCACGGGGGTCGTGTCGGGCCGTGACACTCTGCGTGAACCCAACAGGACACGTGACCGGATTAAGGGGGGGGGGTAGGGGCCCCAGGGAGGTCACGTGGTTGGGGTTCAGGCCTTCCCGAAGGATCGGGAAGGGGCGTGGACGGAGAGCGGGGCTGGTTTGGGCTGTTCTGCTGCTGGGTCAACTCTGGGATGAAGCTCTCCGGTCTCCGCCAGTGGACCAAGCAGCGTGTTGGGCTGTCCTGGTCCATTGATGTAGTACCCCCGTGTGTTAGCTAAGTTAGGGACGGTGGCTACCCCCTTAAGTCGTGATGTTAAGTGTTACCTGTTGTGTTAGCTAATAAATAGTTCTGCCTCCAAAGTCCAGTGTGCGCCTGAATGTAACCCACTACACATGGTTTAAATGTATGCCTATACATCAATGGGGATTACCTGTACACAGAAAATAACAGGTACCACTATTTTATTGCACGTAAACGACAGGAGGTGCGTTGATAACCATATGAATAGCCCAACCCTCAATGGATACCCATTCACATTTATATGCATTAATTAATCCGCCCCTTCGCACAAGAAGGGCTCACAAGTGACATATAGGAGGATTTCTCCACAAATCTGGCTGTCGCCTGATGAAGCTAGTTGTAATTACTGGCGAAACGTCGTACTCGGATTGTAAATGTGGCTTTGCTTTCCAACACAACTGGTGTGCTGTACTAGTGACGCATTGGCATGTTCTGTTTGTAACAAACCTTACCCATTGGCTGTGTGGGGTGGTGGCAGGTTTAACGATACATTTATATTCACGCGATCTAACCCAACAAACCTATATTATTTCTGATACTTATATAGGGTCGGACCTACCAAACTCACCGCTGAAGATCTATCTAAATGTTTAAACACCTGATTCTAATTACCCCCTTAATTGAGCTAATGCAACCAGGGGTTCACTTACTTTTTCACATACCCTGAACCTTCATTATTCATTGTTTAATTAATACGTTATTCTGTTTCAAAATACATGGAATTGGTTAATATAAACCCTGTTGGATATTTAATAAAAGGCCGGTTTTCATTCAAGAACACTTTTATGGTAAAACTATGGAAGTTCCATAATTATGATTGGGGTTCACAAACTTTTTCTCGGCACTGTAATTTGTATCACTGACTGCTTGGTTGCGTTTTACAGTTGCGTTTTAATTGTATGATTTGTACGTATTTATAATAGGCGTTTTTAGTTTATTTGTGTTTGCTTTTTTTGTTGTCCTCTGGTTTTTCCCCATGGATAGGGAGACAGCTTTGCGGATTGTACGGTCAGAATATCCGTTCATCCTGAGGGCTTGGTGTACGTGCTCCAGCTCACTGGCTAGGTGATGCTGGTCGGAGATGCAACGGGCCCTATGGTGTAGTGCTTTGATGAGGGAATTCTTCTGGGCTGGATGGTGGTGGGAGTCAGGCTTTAGATAGGCATCCGTGTGGGTGGCTTTCCTGTAGACAGTGTCCCAACGAGCCATCAGGTCTCTTCTCGATCGAAACATCCAGGAACGGTAGCTTGCCATCCTTTTCCACTTCCATGGTGAATTTGATGGATGGGTGTATGGAATTGATGTGGTCGAGAAATTGGTTCAGTGCTGGCAGGCCACGTGGCCAGATGACGAACGTGTCTTCCACGTATCTCTTCCACAAGGATGGGGCATAGGTGTTGATGTCTGGATGGCATCTGTCTCAAATTTCTCCATGAAAACATTCGCTACCTCTGGCGATAAGGGAGAACCCATTGGGGTACCCGCATTTTGTTTGTAGAATGTACCATTCCAGGTGAAGTAAGTGTTGGTAAGGCAGTGCCTTACCAAAGTTGGTACATCTAGATTCAGTCCCTGTTGGAAGAAGTATTGAATGATTGCAATGGTGTCAGGTACAGGTACCATGGTGAACAGGGAGACTACATCGAAACTGACAAGTAAATAATCTGGAGACAATGAGATGTCCTTGATTAGAGAAACTAAGTGAGCTGAGTTAAATACAGCTGAGGGGGTCTTGCCCATGAAAAAAACGTTTCTAGTTTTTAGTTAATAGTTTTCAGTGTTCAAGGCCCACACAGTGTGATTTGCCCCAGGTCCCACATCCTGCTTTGGACGGTGTTGCTTTCACAGCACACTTGCCCCGACAGTCTATTAAAGTCCATAATCAACGTTTTTGGGTTTAGATCGCGTTATTTATAAATGTGTCGTAACCCTCCACCACCCGACACGGCCAATCAGTAAAAAAGTGTCACGTTGACAAAAGACAATTAGTTCACTGCTTTAGCCCACCGGTGTGTTGAAGCGTGAAACCACAACAATTTACAATGTGAGTACTGTTAGACAGTCTATTAAAGGCTACACGGGGGGGGGATCTTTGTCTTTGTACCCACCGAGATGGCCGCTGGAGGGAAAACGTTGCTCTGGGATTGGCTAAGCAGCCTCGCGGACAGCGGCAGCTACGGCCTGAGCTGGGGAGACGCGGAGCGGACCAGCGTGCGGATCCCGTGGCACCCCACGTCGGCGATCCCGGACGGAGACTCCATCTTCAAGGTACAGACAGTCCTCGCACTTACGCACACACACCCGCACTTATGAACACCCGACTTACGAACGCCCGCCCTTAAGAACGCCTGCCCTTACGAACCAGCTTCCATGAACTACGCATTGTTTTACATCGACTTAAAACGCGAACTCGCACTTGCAAATTGAACCACGGGACTATCTTGTTTAGTGGAGCAATCCTCAGTGAAATTAGTGAGCAGCAGCGGAGGGCAGAGGAGCAATGCTCACAACAATGAGCAGAGCACCGGGTGGCTAAAACGCAGAGAGTTATCACAGTGGGGAGCACAGGTGATGCATCTTCCAGTCATCTCACTCAGTCAACCCATGGCACTTTGGTCTGTTCCGTGACCTCCTGCCAGTGGGCCTTCGACACTTCTCATGGTCTCAAAGTGCACCTAGCCTGGTACAAGCGCCGTGGTAACATGGCCACCACTTAGTGATGAACGAAAGTTATTATGTTACGTCGTAAATTCCTGTGTGAACGTTGTAAATTAGATACCTCCTGTACTCGCATCTGGTACCGGTTTTGTGTTGAACTTTATTACAATAGTGTAATGTGAAGATATATCCGGCTCACTGACGTATCACAACTCGTCATGATGATTGGCTCTGCCGGTCCTGGTCTATAGCCAATGGGGGGAAGCCTAGGGGCGTGGCCCTGACGTAATGGATAGGTGACAGCTGTAAGTAGAGGATTGGTTCTGCTGGCTTTGGCCACAGCCAATGGGGAGATGAATCAGGGGCGTGGTCCTGGGAGCCTACCAGGGAGTCTGGAATATTCCATGGAGGCTAACCAGGATTGGTGGAAACGTACCACGTGACCCGGGTATTAAATAGGGGTGGAGACGAACGACACGGGGTCAGAACTGGAACGAACGGAGGAGGAGGCCACGCGGGAGCGGGGCTCCAAGTTGCCACGTGGCAGCGCGTCTCTCTCTCTCTATTCCTCTCACGCTGCCTGTCAGTAGCGTGAAGGAGAGCTGTACTGAAAAGTGAATAAAAGACCGGATTCCAGAAGTCACCTCAACGACCTTTATTACAATAGTGTGCTCTACAGCAGCGGTCTCCAACCCCCGGGCCGCGGACCGGTGCCGGTCCGCGGCCTGTTAGGAACCGGGCCGCACAGCAGCAGGAGGTGAGTGGTGAGTCCGCACGTGGCCCGCCCCCATTGTTTTATTATTGACCACTTCCGTCCGCGCCTCTTTCCCCCACAAGCTCTAACTCCTAGTAGCCAACATGAGTAAAAACAAACGTTGCCAGAGAGCTTCTTTGAAAAGAGGGAAAAACCCAATGATGAACCTCCCCCCCCAGTCCATGAAATAAATTGACTTCCACGAAACCGGTTACGGTGCTGAAAATGGTGGGGACCGCTGCTCTACAGTATTGAGAATAGACCGAGGAGTGCTGACTGTGAAATAGGTCTGGGCTTGGTCTGTCGGAAAAAGTGGGTCGGTTAGGGTTGCCACTCAGCAATGCAAACACCCACCCACCCATACACTTACGCATTCACTCACCCATCCACCCCCTCACCAACCCACCCATTCACCCGCCCATCCACCCGCCCACTCACAAACCCACCCACTCACCCATTCACCCACCTACTAACTCATTCACCCACCCACTAACTCATGCACCCACCCACTAACTCATGCACCCACCCATCCACCCACTCACCTATTCACTCACCCACCCACTCACCTATTCACTCACCCACCCATGCACCCACCTACCCATTAGCCCACTCACTCACCCACTCACCCAATAATTCACTAATCTACTCATCCACCCAACCACGTATCCATTCACCCACCCACTCACCCACCCACCCAGCTACTCACCTATTCATCCACTCACCCCATTCACTCACCTGTCCATTCACCCATTAATTTACCTATCCACCCACTCTCCTATCCACTCACCTACCCATTCGCCCACCCATTAGCCCACTCACTCACTCATTCACCCACTCACCCACCCATCCACTTATCCATTCACCCACCCACTCAACCTCTCACTCACCCATTTACCCACCAACTCACCCATTCACCCACCCACCCACTCACCTATTCACTGACCCTCCTATTCACCCGCCCACCCACTCACCCATTGACCCACTCACCCATTGGGCCACCCACCCACTCACCTATTCACCCACCCACTCACCCACCCACCCACTCACCCATCCACCCACCCCTTCCCCCGCAGGGCTACGCGGTGCTGCGCTGCCGCGACGGCTTGACGTCGCCCAGCACATGGAGGCAGTCCCTGCGCTGCGCCCTGCGCAGCACTCTGCACTGCATCTGCAACGGGGCCGACCTCAACCCGCCACAGCCATTCCGCATCTACGCGCGGCTCGAACGGCACCCACGTGAGTCCCCAGGTGAGTTGAGTAAGGGTCTCCAGGTGAGGTAAGGGTCCCCGGGTGAGTCAGGTAAGGGTCGCCAGGCGAGGTAAGGCTCGCCAGGTGAGGTAAGGGTCTCCAGGTGAGGTAAGGGTCTCCAGGTGAGTCAGGTAAGGGTCCCCAGGTGAGTCAGGTAAGAGTCTCCGGGTGAGTTTGGTAAGAGGGTAAGAGTGCCACGGTGGCAAGGAGATGTTAACTACCTCGCCTGGTATACAGGAGATCATGGTTTCAATTCCGACCCTGTCGGCTGCTGCTGTATATTTGTAGTTTGCGTGTGTCTCTCCTCGTGGTCACGTGGATCTTTCTCCGGGTCCTCCGGTTTGTCCCCCCACATGTAGAACGAGCGTCACCACGTGTTTAAGAGTTATTTGGCTGCTGCTAAAAATATCCGCCGATGATGATAAGCTCAGTCACTTCGTTGACGCCGGTATCATTTGTGTTGGCCAGGTCGCTTCTAAAATAAGAGCCACAAAACAAATTGTTGGGTTCATAGTTTACAGTCGGCGTGAGTGAGTCCGCTCCTCGCCGTCCCCATCTCATTCCTGCCAACCACGTTCAGGGGGCCCGTCGATCCCGCGTACAACAGTTGACACATTTTATTTTTATTTTACCAGGTTGTAAGGCCCCCACTGAGCTGCTACGTAGTGTCTCTTATTTCAGAATCGACCTGGCCAACACAAATGATAGGTCAACGAAGTTGGTGGCTTATCATCGTCATCATCATTCGTAGCAGGCAAATACTCTGAACGCATGTCGATGTTGATTCTCAAACCGGAGGACCCGGAAAAAAATCCACACGACCACGGGGAGAGAGAACATTCAAACTCCAAATATACAGCTGGCGGTAAGGGTCAGTAGTGAACCCGCACCCTCCTGTATACCAGACGAGGTGGTCAGCATCTCCTAGCCACCGTGGCGCTTACACCGGGTGCTTGACTGACACCAGTCAGAGCCATCCCCTGGGGTACGACTAATCGGGGTGACTGCCCCGGGCCCCGCAATTTGGGTGGGGGGGGGGGCACAGTGGGATTTGCCCCAGGCCCTGCACCTCCCTATAGAAGACCCTACACAGAGATACGGGGACACGGGGACACGGAGATACGGGCATATGGAGCGATGGGGATACGGGGATATGGAGATACAGGAACACATTAACAGGAACAGAGACAAAGCCACGCGTTTTGTGTGAGTTATGCACATGTTTCACGTTGCATATCGGTGTTTTGTGCGAGTTAAACGTTCAATGTTAAAGCCTTCTATAGGGCTCAACGTTAAATGCTCCCGTAGGGTTAAACATTAAAGGCTCCCACTTGGTTCAACGTTAAAGACTCCCATTGGGTTCAAGGTTAAAGTCTTCGTGAGTGTTCAACCTTAAAGGCTGCCATAGGGTTCCATGTTAAAGGCTCCCATCGGGTTCAATGTTCAAGGCACTTTATTTGTTCACCATACATTCAAAGTATGTTGCACCTGTAAAGCGCCCTTACAGTGGAACAGCCTGCAATGCGACAGTGGACACACATCCACGCAGAGCAAACACGACCTGACACGAACACAAACACTGCAGGTCTGTGGCACCTGACCAGAGTAGTGTGCGTTTCTACAATGCCTATATTGTATAACAACAAGTACAAGAAACAAAGATCACCCATACAACCTTTAACCAGGCTGCTGGAGCAAGTCCTGTTGCTCGAACGTGCTCCCTGGACAGAAGCTCACTTCTTCACTCTGCTGTCCCGATATGGACTGCCTCCCGAAACACTGTCAGTTAAATCACCAATTCTGGTCTCAAGGCCTTCAAATGCCGAGCACACACACATGGCAAATCTCCTAACTTCACCACACTCCTTGTAGGGACTGAGTCTTTGAGCTGCAGTGAATCAATGATTATGCCGATTAGATCGTACGAATGTACGATCTAATCGGCATAAGTACTCTCCAACTCACCGGTGTGCTGTACTAGTAACGAATTGGCAGGTTCTGTTCATGTGACAACCCTTACTAGTTGGCTGTGTCGGATGGTGGCGGGTTGTAATGACACTTATATATTTACTCGATTTAACCCAAAAAAAAGCCTCTATTATAGATGGGGATTAGTCTACACTTTGCCGTAACCGCCTTGTCCAGGCGGAGCCAAGGTACGGCTCTTCCTCGATGCCCACGGAAAGGGAGTTTCACGACCCAACTCTACCGGTGATCTACCAACCCTTGCTTCTGACACCACAGCGCTGCAGTACGGGCGGGCAGCCCCGTGCAGCGAAGCCACCACCACTGCCCAGCTGGCAGAGGGGATAAGGGACCGTCCATAAATGACATCGCAATTTTGGACGATTTTTTACCCCCCCCCCTTCGTCACACGGCGTCACAACAAGTCAGACCCCCCCTCAAATATGACGTCACAAAGCTCTGCCCCCCCCCCCCCCAAAAAAAAAACTTGCTTCAAATCGCTTTAAACTATTGTATTGTCATTGTAGTGCATATTTAATGTGGCGCTGCACTCTGATGTTGTAGGAGAAAACATTTATTACAAAGTCTATTTAATTAAGTAGAACGTGTTGTCTATATTTATTTAAAGTTGCGCATTTTGATGTGAGGTCACATTTCTCAAACCCCCCCGCCCCTCGTCACACATCGTCACAAATGTCTGACCCCCCCCCCCCCCCCCAGGTGCGTGACGTCATTTATGGACGGCCCCTAATGCACTGATGGGTGGGGGACTGTGTCATCACCACGGCGGTGATGGTGCCCACATGTTGTATATCTGTGTCTGGCTGGGAGGGGTGGCGAGTCTCATTCCCGCTCAACCACCAACACCACCAGTGACGATTGTCTGAACCGGTACCTGGCACCTCCGCTAGGTCGACTCGGCCTCAAATGAGTACGGCGGTGTGGTGCGTAGCGAACATCGCCAACCGGGGAGACAAAGGCGGACGTGTGTGTGACTTGCCTCGACGGTGTGTTAAAGTCTATGGGGGGGGGGGATCGTTGTCTCTGTTGTGTGTGTCTGTCTGGCGCAGCCCCGATTTTCCCAGCCCCTCCGGACCCCGACGACGTCGCCGTGACGGTGCCGATGAAGACCGCCGAGGGTCACAAGCTGGAGCAAGGTGAGAGCAGCGACGTCCCCGGGTTTTGATTTCAAGTCTGGAATTGACGGCTCGGTTAGCAGCCGGGATGGAGGTGGTGGTGCAGCCGTGTTTGGTTAATGCAGACTCGATGCCTTGTATTTAATGGGTGTCTCTGTGGTGTTTCAACATCTTAACACCGCCTGTGTTTACGCCAGAGAGGGTAAAGCCTCTGTCATTCAATGCCTTGATACGATGTGTATGTTGAGATATTTCACACCGTATATAGGTGCGGGGGAAGGACAACAAACTAAACGCACAAAGCAGTTTTCAAGAAAATCGTTTTTTAAATCGAGATGATTTAAAAGTGCATAGCTCCAGCGACTTCGTAATAACGTCTGGAAGAGCGTTCCAGACGGCCGCAGGAGCGCATCTGAGAGCGCTGTGCGATGCGCTGACCGCCATCTTTGTTCAATTGTTTGCCAAAAGCCGCTGCTGCTGTTGCTGCTGCGAGGATGTCCGGAGTTTTCACGTGGTGATGGTTTACGTAGCTGCTTGACGAGATCATCGAGGCTATTGTGGTTTATTTGCGGCAAGCACTTGGTTGTTGTTGTGTCACGAGTGCGACGTGACAATGGCGATCGTTCGGAAAGCCGGAAGCCAACGAAAAACGGGGGTCCCGTGGATTTTGAAAGTTGAAACCACTGACGGTGAGGCCTCCATTAACGTTGGTGCATGCATACCCTGGTTAAACGCGACGTCAGACGACGCGGGGCGAATGATATTTAACCACCGTTTGATACGCTTCCTGGGGGGTAATTTTCGGGTCAAAAATTCGAGGAACCGCTATTGCACGAGTTATAGCCGTGGAGATTTAATTTAATAGAGAAGGCAGCACAACATCGATGTGGCACAGTGTGGTGATGTAGTGCAGCGTCCATTGTGGCAATATAGTACAGTGACCCGGTATGGCAGTGTAGTAGAGTATCGAGTACAGATAGTCCCCGACTTACGATATTTCTATTTTACGATGGCGATAGCAATACGGCAAAATTGTAAAATATTTGAAATTTCGCGCGGCAGGCAAACGCAGCAGCGTACGAATCTTGGTGAGTACAGTACAATATGATACGTTATGATACGTTCAATGCATGTATGATACGTAGCTTTAGCGATGTCATTTTCGGGCTACCACGATACGATACGTTCAATGCATGTTAAAAGTTTTTATAGCAGATAGGATTGTTTCCTGAAAAAAAATTCTATTAAATTGCAGTTCATATAGGTAGGCTAAGAATATACCTTGTTTTTTTTTACTTTGCATTTTACTGTGCAATACAGTATTGTAATTAATACTTACTTATAGTATATAGTTTATACAGTACGGTACTGTAAATTGCTCTGTTTTGCTAAATTATCACCATTCTGTAAGCCTCCTGGGCAGGCTAGGTCATCTTCGACTTACGATATTTTTGACTTACGATGGGGTCGTCGTAACGCATCTCCATCGTAAGTAGAGGACTACCTGTATAACGATGTAGTACGTACGGTCTGCAGTATGGCGATGTAGTGCAGTGTTTATACGTGAGCGCCCGCTCTGGGGTGATGTGGCGAAGAGGAGCATCGTCTCGTTGTACGCTGCCCAAGCTCCTGCATTCTCGTCTTTGTTTATTTTTTTCAAAACGTTCTAGCGAATCGATGCATTTTTAATCGAATTACGTTCCCTAAATTGGCTGGCGACATTATAGCGGGCGGCTAAAGCACAGCAAGTTGGCACAGTAGGGGGCACAGGTGGGGCATCAGCCAGTCGTCTCAGTCGGTCAACCTGTGGCACCTGGGTCTGCCCCGTGACCTCCTGCCATCGGGCGTTTTACACTTCACGTGGCCTCAAGGTGCACATGGCCTGGCACAAGCATCGTGGTGACGTCACCGCCACTTAGTGGCGAATGGCGGTTGTTATTGTTGTTGTATGTGTCCGGCTGGGAGCAGTGGCGCAGTGGTTAGCACGCTGTGCTATGAACACGGCGACCCAGGTTTGTTTCCCGCTCAGAGCCACCAACAACAACACCAGTGACGATTATCTGAACCTGTGTGAAGGTGCAGTAATCGCCACTTGGGAGACAAAAGCGGACGGGTGTGGTGGTGGCCACCCACCCCTTCATGTAACGTGCCAGCCAGCTATAGGTTCTTCTCGCTAACCGCAGGGTTTTAAGGCTATACGGGGGATGTTTGTCTTGATAATAGGGATTTCCCCTTTCTGGCAATAAAACAGTTGTGTTAAGATGTTAAAACACCAAACTGAAACCTTTTGCAAGGAATCGTGTCTGCATTAACCACAATACTTGTGGTGAACATGCAAACAAAAAAACATGCCCTGACAGTATATGGTGCATTGTCTTTGAAACTGATTGGGCCACACCAGAGACAGCTTTCTTTAGAACCTCGTCTCAAACGGTGTTAGACCAGAGGACGCCTGAAGGCGAACAGCACAAAGACAGCGCACTATCAGGGCATTGAGAGCTCGGGGTGAGCAGCTACATCATGAGACCTCCTTTGCCAGTATTAAATTATGATAATAGGGACCTTGAACTTTTAAAACAGTCTGCCTCAGCAGCAGACTATGCTTTCCCACCTGATGACGGATGCTTGTGTTGCGCCCGAAACGTCGTGAATTATTTTATTTAAATTTATACCTACGTGACTTTACCGAAAGAACCAAAGATGATTCCTTGCAAAGGTTTCAGTTTGGTGTTTTAACATCTTAACACAACTGTTTTATTGCCGGAAAGGGGAAACCCTTATTATCATAATTTAATGTTGGCAAAGGAGGTCTCATGATGATGTTTGTCTTTGTTGTGCGTGTCCGACTGGTGCAGCCCCGACTTTCCTGGCCTCTCCGAGCCCTGAAAATGTGGCCATGGATAAAGGTGAGCAGGGGAAGGTCCTGGGTTTGATTTCAAGTTTGGAATTGAAAGCTGGGATAGCAGCCGGGAGGGAGGTGGTGGCACAGCGGTGTGGTGAATGCAGACTTGATATCTTGTAATAGGTGTCTATTTGGCGTTTAACAATATTAACACTTCCTGTATTTACGCCGGAAAGGGTAAAGCCTCTATTTATCATTCAATACCTTGATACTGTATATATGTAATGTTGAACTCTTTCGCACCGTACGTAGCCAATCGTGCTAATTGGAGGTGCGGGGAAAGGACAACAAACTAAACGCACGAAGCAGTTTTCAAGAAAATTGTTTTTAAAATCGAGATGATTTAAAAGTTGCATAGCTCCAGTGACTTCCTAACATCGTCTGGAAGAACATTCCAGATGGCTGCAGAAGCGCCGTGCGATGCGGTGACTGCTTTGTTAGCCAAAAGCTGCTGCTGCTGCGAGGATGACCGGAGTTTCGCTTGGTGATGGTTTATAGAGCTCATTGATGAGGTCAGCGAGGTATTGTGGTTCATTTGTGGCAAGCACTTTGTTGCGTGTAATGAGTGCGACCTTGAACATTGAACGACCCATTGGGAGCCTTTAGCATCGAACTCCATGGGAGCCCTTAACATCGAACACCATAGGGGCCTTCAATATTGAATACAATGGGAGTCTATAACATTGAATGCCATGGGAGCCTTTAACCTTGAACTCCATGGGAGCCTTTAACATCGAACACCATAGGGGCCTTCAATATTGAATATAATGGGAGTCTTTAACATTGAACGCCATGGGAATCTTTAACATTGAACGCCATCGGAGCCTTTATAGTTGAACGACTTCAAACTAAATTGGAAGTATTTTATCTGACACCATGACTTGAAAGCACGGGGCCCGGGGCAGTTGCCCCAATGATTCACCGTGCACCGTAGGCGACGGCTCTGAGTAGCAGCCTCCCTCGTTCGCTCTCTCCCCTCCCCCTCCCTCCCCCCCCACCCCCACCCCTTGCTCGCCGCAGCCAGCGCCCTGCGGCTGACGGTCACTTACCGGGGCCTCCTGGCGCTCAGCCAAACCGTGGGCCCTGGGTCGATGGCCTGCGACTCCACCTACGGCTGCCTCCTCTTCCACGGCGCCTTGGACCGGGGGGAGGTCCGTGTTGGCGCTGCCTGTGACAGTTGATCAGCGTTGGGGCGGCCACGGTGGCGGCTAGGAGATGTTAACTATCTCGCCTGGTGTGCAGGAGGTCGTGGGTTTGATCCCGACCCTGACGCGTGCTGCTGTATATTTGGAGTTTGCGTGTCTCTCTCTATCCCCGTGGTCGCGTGGATTTTTCTCCGGTCCTCCGGTTTTTTTTCTCCACATTTAGAATCAACATGCGCATATTTGGCTGCTATACATTTCCACGTGATAAGCCACTTCCATACTCTTTGATTCTTTCGGTGAAGTCACGTAACGTATAAAACGAAATAAATTAAATCACCACGTTTCGGGCGCAACACAAGCGTCCGTCATCAGGTGGGACAACCACAGCAAGAAACAATTGCTGAAGTGGGCAGAAGGGCTGCTGTAACAGGAGGCTATATATATTGATATAATTTAGATTGATATAAGCCACTTCGTTGAGCTATGACGTGTGGCCAGGTCACTTCTTTAAAAGAGCTACATTTCGATTTAAAGCTTTCGTGTCTGCAGGGATTCATCTTCTTGGTTCTTTCGGTAAAGTCACGTAGAACCTGGTCTTCACCTGATGACGGCTGCTTGCATTGTGGCCGAAACGTCGTGAGAATTATTTTATGTTTTATTTTATTATTTTTATTGTTTCCATTCTATGTGAATTTACCGAAAGAACCAAGAAGAAGAGCTACATTGCTTAGTGGCCCTTACCTGGTAAAATATAAATAGTTTAGTTTAAATAAAATAAAAAATTGGGTAACTAAAATTAATATGGTGAATAGGGATGGGGTATAGGAAGGGCGGTGAGTGGGTACCGGAATTCCGGGGGTGCCTCGGGATGGAGGGAAGGGGATGGGTCAGGGAAAAGAGGTGGGGGTCTTGAGAGAGGAGCGGAAACTCGACAGGGAGGGTGCTCGCTTATTGTGGAGTGGAAGTTTGTTCCAGTGTGAGGGGGCAAGTAGGGATAAGGAGCGGGAACGGGATTGTGCACAAGTAGAAGGGGCAACGGCGAGGAGTAGGAGAGATTTAGAGCAGAGCGGGCGGCAGGGGACATAAAACGAGATGAAGGAAGCGAGATAAGGGGGGGAGAAGGCCATGACGAGTTGGTGAGGAGCTAAGGACGGAAGGAGCTGGTTGGGACAGAGGAGCGAGTGGCATTCGTTTTGTAAGAGAAGAAAAGGGCAAAGTCAGTAGCAGAGAGACAAGTGGAAAGGGCGGGGGAGGAGTTGGGGTGGGTGGGTGGAGAAGGTTATTAAGGGTAGAGAAGAGTAGGCGGGGATGAGAGGAAAGGGAGGGAAGGAGAGTGTGGAAGTAATTCTTATTCTTAGGTTTTTTCTGTTAAGTCACGTAGGTAAAAAACTTAAAATTAATAAAAGTAAAATAAAAAATCACGACGTTTCGGAGGCAACACAAGCTTCCGTCTTCAGGTGGAACCGTCACAGCCACGACAGCTTTTTTTTTACTTGATATTTACTTGATACAGCTGTCGTGGCTGTGACGGTTCCACCTGAAGACGGAAGCTTGTGTTGCCTCCGAAACGTCGTGATTTTTATTTTATTTTACTTTTATTGATTTAAATTTTAATTTTTTACATACGTGACTTTACCGAAAAAACCTAAGAATATGAATCCTTGCAGTCACGAAAGCTTCAAATCTAGAATTAATGGAAGTAATTCTGTTTGGTTCCTTCCAGCGATGATAGAAATGGCCGGAGTAGGGAGAGGTAACGGGAGAGGGAAGATCGGAGCGTACGTGAGCTCCCCACGTGCGCTCCGATTTGCGCAGAGAGCGTTTGCTCGATTGGATGCAGGGGGTTAGCCGGGGGGCTGTTGGGGGGCTTCGGACGGTGAGAGCGGTTGTGCAGGGGAGCAAAGAGGTTGAGTGAGGTGTTGATGGTGGAGTGTAAGGTGGCAGAGGCAGCGTCTGGGTGGGGGGGTTTGGGAAGGAAAAAAGAGGGCAAGGAAGGGAGAAAGGAGGAGTTCCGGGAGATTAGGGACGCGGAGTCTCTAGTGAGCGGAGTTTGTGGGAAAGAAAGTGGTGGGGTGGGATGGGGCTGGGTACGGTGATGGTGAGGGAGAGGAGGAAATGGTCCGAGGGAGGGCGGGGGTCGGCTACAATGGGGGAAGCCTCACAATCTGATGTAAAGATGATGTGGAGGGTGCTGCCAAAGAAGTGAGTAGAGGGCGAGGGAAGGAGACGAACGTCGAAGGAGTTAGCGAGGGGAAGGAGGGTCGAGGCAATGGAGGGAAGAGCAAGATCCAGATTGAAATTAGCTAGAAGAATAAAAGGGAGCGGGAGAGGGAGGAACAGTTTGGGTGGTCGAGGAAGAGGATCGAGGGAACGGGGGGACGATAGATAATGAGTCGACGTGGTGGAGCCCCAGGACCGGTTCAGATAATTCACTGGTCAACAAAAAAAATTCTCGCCTGGACTTTTGCAGCTGTTCTAGTCTAAGTTCAGGGTGCTGATTCCAAATCTGATCTCAGATTTGCTCTATCACATCTCATTTTTATGCTATCGGCATACCCCATTTTCATTGATTTTACCCGAAATAAACTCTGTCACTTATGATTGCATGTTGTTGCGAGTCAGTGACTGCTTTAGTGTTAAAATATGGTGCTGTATTTTTAGGATAATGTGTTTATAATATCATTTTATGTAGATATCCACATTTATTTAATATTTTTCTTCTGCAGTTTGTATTGAAAATGCAATATTTGATATCTCAAAAACCTGACGTGATAGACAAAAACTGATGCCAGATTTGGAATCAGCACCCCAAAATTACCTTAAAACCGTTGGAATACCTTATGCCAGAAAAAGTGTGTTGACCAGTGTAATTGTCACTGGTGTTGGCCATGAGCGGGAATCGAACCCGGGTCACTGGGTTTGTAGTGCAGCGTAGCGCTAACCACTACGACACCACTCCCCCACACACTTTTGCCCGCAGGTGAACAGAAACTTCCTGTCTTCGAAGGAGCCCCAACTGTTTCCCGTGATGCTGCCTCGGCCACCGCAAGGTGACTCCATGAGTGGCAGCGACCGCAGACAGGTGCAGGAGAGGCTGGAGCTCATGGAGAACGGGCTGCTGCTGGAGGTGAGGGGTGAGGACGCGCGAGGGTGTACACTGCTTATACACACCACGTGTGTGTTGGTACACGTGTGTGTTGGTACACGTGTGTGTTGGTATACGTGTGTGTGTGTGTACACTGCTTATACACACCACGTGTGTGTGTGTACACTGCTTATACACACCACGTGGTGTGTGTTTATACACTGCTTTTACACACGTGTGTATGTGTACACTTGTGTGTGTGTACACGTGTGTGTGTGTGTACACTGCTCATACACACCACGTGTGTGTGTGTTGGTACACGTGTGTGTGTGTTGGTATACGTGTGTGTGTTGGTATACGTGTGTGTGTTGGTATACGTATGTGTGTGTTGGTATACGTGTGTGTGTGTACACGTGTGTGTGTGTACACGTGCGTGTTGGTATACGTGTGTGTGTGTGTACACGGGTGTGTGTGTTGGTACACGTGTGTGTGTGTTGGTATACGTGTGTGTGTGTTGGTATACGTGTGTGTGTGTGTTGGTATACGTGTGTGTGGGTACATGTGTGTGTGGGTACACGTGTGTGTGGGTACACGTGTGTGTTGGTACACGTGTGTGTTGGTACACGTATGGGTGTGTGTACACGTGTGTGTTGGTACACGTGTGTGTTGGTACACGTGTGTGTGTGTGTACACGTGTGTGTTGGTACACGTGTGTGTGTGTGTGGGGAGCGGTAGTGTAGTAGTTAGCGCGCTGCGCTACGAACCTGGCCACCCGGGTTCGATTCCCACTCACGCCAGAATCGGTGACGATTATCTGAACCGGTCCTAGGCCTCCCCTAGGTCGACTCAGCCTCAAACGAGTACCTGGTGGCGGTGTTGAAACATCGTCACTAGGGAGACAAAGGCAGTCGGGCATGGTGCTGGCCACCCACCCCCTCGTGTACCCTTCCAGCCTTCATAGGTGCTCGCTAACAGCACTTGCCCCTACAGTGTGTTTAAGGCTACAGGGTGATCTTTGTTGTTTTGTTTGCATGTATGTGTTTTTCTATGCATATGTGTTTGTGTGTATATCCCCCGGCCCTGTCCTCAAGTGCTGGAGGGTTCATCCCAAGTTTTCTGTGGGAAGGTTGAACCCCAGTTTAACACGCAGTAGTAGCGGTAGGATTCTTTCGCGACCAATATCCACAAGAGTTTTTTTTTGGTGTAGATCGCGTAAATATTAATGTGCCGTTAAACCCGCCACCACCCCACACAGCCCAATCAGGAAAGGGTTGTCACGTAAACAAAACGTGGCCCATTATGTACGAGTCTGGCGCTAACCGGTTGTGCGTTGGAGTGTAAAGCCACTACAGCATTTACAACTCGAGTCCAGTACTGTGACGTTTCGCCGGTAATTACAACAACAACCACAACAACAACAACCACAACAATAACAACAACCACAACAACAACCAGCCTCGTGAACCCCCCAAGACTTCACCGCTTGGTGGTCGGGTCACTGGTGACGTTTACCATCGGTGATGTTTGCCATCAGCCGGGAGCCACGCCATCCAGATGTAGGAGACTGTCATCGGTTCGTCGGGGTTTGGAGCGTGTTCCAGGAGGGGCTGCAAGATTTCAGACATGCGCGTGGGTGATGTTGATGATGTTAATGTTGATTATGTTGATGATTATGTTGTTGATGATGTTGTTGATGATGATTTTGATGTTGATGATTATGATGTTGATGATTTTTAGGATGTTGATGATGTTGATAATGTTGTTGATGTTAATGATATTGATATTGTTGATGATGTTGTTGTTGATGATGTTGATATTGTTGATGATGTTGTTGTTGATGATGTTGATATTGTTGATGTTGATGATGATGTTGATGATTATGATGTTGATGATTTTTAGGATGTTGATCATGTTGTTGATGTTAATGATATTGTTGCTGATGTTGTTTATTTTGATGATGTTGTTGATGATGATTTTGATGATGATATTGATGACGTTGATGATGTTGACAATGTCGAGTGTAGGTAACTCCGCTGGGGATTTTCTGCACCCGTCTCTGCCGTTGCCGTGTCTACGTTTCTGGACCCGAGACCCAGAAGCCGCAGGGAGACCCCCAATCCCTGCCCAGGCCCAAGAGCTCTGGGAGCGCCCGGCAACTCATCTTTGACTTCAAAGAATTCCAACGAAGTGAGAGCGGAACGCACTCGCACACACACACAGATAAATACCCCCGTATAGCCTCAGCAGACTCTAGGGGCAAGCGCTGTGAGCGAGCACCTCTACGAAGGCCGGAACGGCACACGAGGGGGTGGGTGGCCAGCACCTCGCTCGACCGCCTTTGTCTCCCCAGTGGCGATGGTTTTACACACCACACCAGGTACTCGTTTGAGGCTGAGTCGACCTAGGGGAGGCCCAGGACCGCTTCAGATAGTCATCAGTGGTGTTAGCCGTGAGCGGGAATCGAACTCAGTTCCCCAGGTAAGTAGTGCAGCACGCCAACTGCCAGGGTACCACTACCCACAAGTACACACAAAGATCCCCCGTATAGCCTTCATAGATACTTGCCCTTAAGTTGGCAATTGAACTCGGGTCGCCAGGTTCGATTCCCAGGACCGGTTCAGCGATTATCTGAACCGGTCCTGCGCCTTGCCTAGGTCAACTCAGCCTCAAATGAGTACCTGGAGCGGTGTGTAGTAAACATCGCCACTGGGGAGACAAAGGCGGTCGGGCGTGGTGCTGGCCACCCCACCCCCTCGTGTGCCAAAGTGCCAGGCCTTCATAGGCGCTTGTTGGGGGGTGGGTAACTGTCTTTGTGGTTCTTACCGTCACGCAGAGATGCAGGACTACATCAGGACCCCCCTGGACAGCCTCGTGCACGCCCCCAGTCACGAGGTGACGCTCTGCATCGGCACAAAGTGGCCAGACGGCGAGGAAGTTCACAGGAAGCCCATCGCCGTGCGGGTATGGGCCCACGGGGCCACGCTCGTACTTGTGTGTCTGTGTGTGTGTTTGTGTGTACGTGTGTGTGTCTGTGTGTGTATCTGTGTGTGTGTCTGTATGTCTGTCTGTACGTGTGTACGTGTATGTGTGTGTCTGTGTGTACGTGTGTGTGTGTGTGTGTCTGTGTGTACATGTGTGTGTGTCTGTGTGTGTACGTGTGTGTGTCTGTGTGTACGTGTGTACGTGTGTGTGTCTGTGTGTACGTGTGTCTGTCTGTGTGTACGTGTGTGTGTGTCTGTCTGTGTGTACGTGTGTGTCTGTGTGTACGTGTCTGTGTGTGTGTCTGTGTGTGTACGTGTGTGTGTCTGTGTGTACATGTGTGTGTGTCTGTGTGTGTCTGTGTGCGGTAGTGTAGCGGTTAGCGCTACGCTGCGCTACCAACCTGGCGGACGATTATCTTAGGTCGACTCGGCGTTAAACCAGTACCTGGTGCAGTGTGTATACATCGCCACTGGGGAGACAAAGGCGACCGGGCGTGGTGCTGGCCACCCACCTCCTCGTGTGCCGTGCCGACCTTCAAAGTTGCTCGCTAGCAGCACTTGCCCCAAGAGTTTGTTCAGGCTACATGGAGGATCTTTATCTTCATCTTCATGCATGTGTACACGTGCGTACACATGTCTGTGTACATACGTATATGTTTCTATATGTATATATATGTTCGTGTGTATGTATATAACGTTTATTTATTTTCCCAGGTAAGGCCCACCTGAGCTACGTCGCTCTTTCTCAGAAGCGACCTGGCTCGACGAAGTGGCTCATCGTGGGAACATTTACAGCAGCCAAATACTCTAAACGCGTGTTCATTCTAAACATACAAACTCCAACTATACAGGCGTCTGTGGGTCGGGATCGAATCCACGATTTCCTGGATACGAGGCGAGGGAGTTAACATCTGATAGCCACCGTGGTGACGCTGGCCACCCACCGCCACCCTCTCGTGTGCCACAGTGCCGGCTTTCATAGGCGCTGCTGCTGCTATTGCTATAAACAGCCACTTTGTTAAGGCTTTAGTGGGGGGGTTGCCCTTTGTTCTCTGCTGTCTCAGGTGGAGCACTTGAGGTCGCACGCCATCGTCGACGGATTCAAGCACTTGGGCGTCTGCCCGCGAGACGCTCGCCCCGACTGCTCGGACCCCAACTCTGCCGACAGATTCCTGGATTTGCTCAAGAAACTCGAGCTGGGGAGCAGTGCCTATGACCAGCAGCAGCAGCAGTAGCCCCAGCAGTAGCCATAGCATCATTAGCCCCAGCAGCAGCACCAGCAGTAGTAGCAGCAGTAGCACCAGTAGCAGCAGCAAGAAAGTAATAATTATTTCCAGGGTGACAGCTGCATTGGTGATGCTAGCAACTCACAGCAAGATGGTCTCTGGGTTCGATTCTCGACTCTGCGTGGAGTTTGTATGATCTCCCCCTGTTCTACAGAGTGAGTGGAGTTTGTATTGTCTCGCCCTGTTCTACAGAGTGAGTGAGTGGAGTTTGTATTATCTCCCCCTGTTCTACAGAATGAGTGGAGTTTGTATGATCTCCCCCTGTTCTACAGAGTGAGTGAGTGGAGTTTGTATGACCTCCCCCTGTTCTACAGAGTGAATGGGTGGAGTTTGTATGACCTCCCCCTGTTCTACAGAGTGAGTGAGTGGAGTTTGTATTATCTCCCCTTGTTCTACAGAGTGAGTGGAGTTTGTATGATCTCCCCGTTCTACAGAGTGAGAGTGAGTGGAGTTTTTGTGATCTCCCCCTGTTCTACAGAGTGGAGTTTGTATTATCTCCCCCTGTTCTACAGAGTGAGTGAGTGGCGTTTGCGTGATCTCCCCCTGTTCTACAGAGTGAGTGGAGTTTGTATGATCTCCCCCTGTCCTACAGAGTGAGAGTGAGTGGAGTTTGTGTGATCTCCCCCTGTTCTACAGAGTGAGTGTAGTTTGTATTATCTCCCCCTGTTCTACAGAGTGAGTGGAGTTTGTATGATCTCCCCCTGTTCTACAGAGTGAGTGAGTGGAGTCTGTATGATCTCCCCCTGTTCTACAGAGTGGGTGAGTGGAGTTTGTATTATCTCCCCCTGTTCTGCAGAGTGAGTGAGTGAGTGGAGTTTGTATTATCTCCCCCTGTTCTACAGAGTGAGTGGGTGGAGTTTGTATGATCTCCCCCTGTTCTACAGAGTGAGTGGAGTTTGTATGACCTCCCCCTGTTCTACAGAGTCAGTGAGTGGAGTTTGTATTATTTCCCCCTGTTCTACAGAGTGAGTGGAGTTTATATTATCTCCCCCTGTTCTACAGAGTGAGTGGAGTTTGTATGATCTCCCCCTGTCCTACAGAGTGATAGTGAGTGGAGTTTGTATGATCTCCCCTTGTCCTACAGAGTGAGTGGAGTTTGTGTGATCTCCCCCTGTTCTACAGAGTGAGTGAGTGGAGTTTGTTTTATCTCCCCCTGTTCTAAAGAGTGAGTGGGTGGAGTTTGTATGATCTCCCCCTGTTCTACAGAGTGAGTGAAGTTTGTATGATTTACCCCTGTGCTACAGAGTGGAGTTTGTATGATCTCCCCCTGTTCTACAGAGTGAGTGAGTGGAGTTTGTATTATCTCCCCCTGTTCTACAGATTGAGTGAGTGGAGTTTGTTTTATCTCCCCCTGTTCTAAAGAGTGAGTGGGTGGAGTTTGTATGATCTCCCCCTGTTCTACAGAGTGAGTGAAGTTTGTATGATTTACCCCTGTGCTACAGAGTGGAGTTTGTATGATCTCCCCCTGTTCTACAGAGTAAATGATTGCGTGGAGTTCCTACACTTTGACATTAGAGAATGAGACTCTACACTGGGACATGACATCACGAGTCTCTACACTGGAACATGACAGCATTAGTCTCTACACTCTACACTGTGACATGGCATCATGAGTCTCTACACTGTGACATGGTATCATGAGTCCCTGTTGCCGTTTTCTAAGTAAAATGTAAAACGTGTTAATGATATCGTGTTTATGGTATCGTGTTTACACTATTATTAAATTGTATTTATAGTAACACCCCAATTTACGCCCTTCCGCTGTTCGTGATTTACCTCTAACGCACTCGACTTGCCGGTACCAAATCGCGTTTCACGTCCCCAGCCACCTCGCCATAACACACTCGAGATTTGCGAACTTTACCATCGAGACCCAACTTTGTGTAGTGACGCAGTTCGGAGACAGGAATTATTGGAGGCACCTTTATTCTTTGCACAATGGGGACTATACGCACCCTACGTGGGTGTACACTTTATATATTACACACACAACCGTCGATTGTCGGCGACACTATCGAGCTGTGACGGAGGCTTGTGTTGCGCCCGAAACGTCGTGATTACATTTTTTTTTGTATACCTACGTGACTTTACCGAAATAACCAAAGAGTTTGTGATTTTATTAGTTTACACTTGAACTTTATGGCGGGAACCCGGGGTCCCATAAGCCCCCGGCTCTCGCCTAAACTGCGTTGCTACGTCATTCTATGTCTGTTGAAGGCGAACAATACGGCAATCTATTCCTCTCGACTCGCTCTACAGTCTACACGATGTCCTAATCAAAGTTTCAAAGTTTTGTTTCTTCTACGCATTCGACCTCGCTGCGCTTGCATGACATAACAGAATGATCCGCGCCAGGTGGGTCGCGGCGTGTCTGTGCACGGTGGGATGGGGTCACCAAAAATATATCAATTACGATTTTTACTTCTGTTTATACAGGTAGGAACAACAGGTCCACACTGCCCACCAGGGATTATGTGTCTGTCTGTCGTGCAAAGCCACGCCCTCGATTTGTATTTCATAGAAGAGCGCTTCGGGCAGGCTCAGCGCCACGTGACGCGCCGCCCCACGCAGCTTGCGCCGCGTGACACGGATCGCACGAATGCGCCGTCCAACCAAGTTCCTACCTGCCCACTCCGAAGGAACGTGTTTGAACTCAGTCTGTTGTGTTTAGGGTCCCCGGGGTCCCGCCATAAGGTTCACTTGACCAAGGGCAAAAACAAATGGCGCGTTTTCGTCCGAAAGTTTCGTGTGTTGTATCTGTGTACTTTGTTGAAACGTAAACCCAACAGTTTGTCAGTTAAAAGCGTTGTAAGGATAGGCACGCGCAGATAGACAGACAAAAATGACGTTTATAGGTAAGATATACAACAATCCCTCGCCAAACGTGGAGGTTAGGTTCCTGTAAAATGTCACGGGAGGCAAATCCGCGGTTGTTGAAGTACACTAGTACAGGGCCCTAAGGGAAATACGGGGTTAGGGGAGCCACGGCCGCGGTCAGACTCGCCATAGCTTAACCAAGTTGCCTGTTTATTAACTAAACGCCGAATAAACTCCAGTACATTACACAATAAGGTAATAATACATATAAACTGTTGCATTAACTTCATGTACCTTTAATGTTAATGATGGTGATGACAATGAGATGATGGGGGAACGGCTGGCTATAAGGAGCCAGAGACACACCGCACTCACCTTCACCACTCACTTACCACGCTCTCGGCTCTACAATTGAGAGGACAAAATGAACGTGAATGCGCTTGCGACAGAGGTCGCAAACGGGTTTTGATTCCTTACCTGTACCCGGCTGCACCAGGGTCGCAAACGGGTACCCGTACCCATACCCGGCCGGGTATGGGTACCCGTACGCTACCCATACCCTACCCGAAATGAGTGACAAACGGTGACTCACCAGTGACTCACGGCCTACCCGTACCCGGCCGCACCAGGGTCGCAAACGGATAGCCGGGTATCGGGTAGGGTATCGGGTACCCGGTTGCGACCTCTGGCTTACGACGCGACGTGGTCTAACGCGCTGCGAGAATTCGAGTAGCAGTTCACGGTACAACGAGAACTGATGGTGGCAGCTGATCAGCTTCGCAGCGGCCACGGGGTGGCGCTGTGGCGCGGAAGGAGACCCACGGCTCCGCGAAATTAGTGGCAATGACGTCACGCAAAACAATGACGTCATGTCGCAACGCAATGACATGGTAAACGCGTCATGTGGCTTCCTTGACACCGCGTGCTTGCTTACCCATGGATACTCAAATTTCCCAACCGCGATTGGTTAATGGGTCCCCATTGGAACCTCATTTGCCAGTAAAAAATATGATAATTGTTTTTTTTACCCTTTTGTCTGGCAACAAAACGGACACCTTTTTTACAAGGAGTCATGTTTACATAGACCACAATACCTGCAGTCATAATGCAAACCAAAAAACATAACTCTGATAATGATATGCACTGTCCTTGAAGTTGATTGGTCCACACTCGAGACAGCTTTCCTTAGAGCCTAGTCGCAAATGGTGTTGGACCATGTGAAAAAAAGGTGTCAGTTTTGTTGCCAGATAAAAGGGTAAAAAAACGATCATATTTTTTTACTGGCAAATGAGGTTCCAATGGTGTAAATGCTTACCCCGAGCTCTCATACTCTGATGGTGCATTGTCTTTGAGTTGTGCGCCTTTTGGCGTCATCTGGTCCAACACCATGTGAGACTAGGCTCTAAGGAAAGCTCTCTCGGGTGTGGACCAATCAACTTCAAGGACAGTGCATACATTATCAGAGTTGTGTTTTTTGTTTGCATTATGACTGCAGGTATTGTGGTCTATGCAAACATGACTCCTCGTAAAAAAGGTGTCCGTTTTGTTGCCAGATAAATGGTTAATGGGTGTTCAAGTAATACACCGTGTAGACATGAAACTGTTTGGCAAGTCCGCGGTTGGCGAGGGATTGCTGTACACTTACTATTGAGCATCCTCTGTTTAGGTTCTGTACGATGTCACGATCCACCATACCATCACTAGTAGTAGTAGGTTCAATACCACATTATGATTCACCATCCCATCTCTAGTAGTCGTGCCTACAACTACTAGGTGGTGGATTGTAGCGTAAACTATATGTATGATTATCCGTATAGTATGTATAATACGTGGTACAGTACCTACTAGTAGTTACGATCCACTATCCCATCTCTAGAAGTAGTAGGTACTCTACGACCCACCATCCCATCTTGGCTTTGATTGAAGTATTTTCCATTTACTTTCTGGTTTTCAGGAACGCATCCGGGGTGTAACCCGGACTATGCCTGTACTTTTATAAACTAATTTCTTTACAACTGCTTCTCGTGTTTAGTTTATTGTCTTTTCACCCGTACCTCCGATCAGCACGGTTGGCTACGTATGGTGCAAAGGAAGTTTAACATAGTACTTGTTTCTACCGCTTTAAAGTAATCTTTATTTCTTAAGTAATTCCATTTCTAATGTATTCTTTTAGACCTGCTGCTCGTTATTTTCTGCGATGCATCCGTGTTTGACAATGTTCTATTCATTTCGTTTCAATTATATAATTCTATAACAGCAGCACCTTGCCACGATCATTTATTGGCAGACTCCGTAGGAAAAAAACAATGGCGCTTTATTAATTGACTTTCTCGACAAAAAAGTGAGAAATTATTGGAGGGATCATCGCTCTCCTAGGGAGAGAGGGGACGACTCAGAGGCGCCCAGAAGAAGGAACCACAGATGAGGTGAGGAGCCAGTGTTACAGATAACTGCCCAAGCTCTGGTTGTATCTCCCAATTAATGAGTGTTTACATGTGGGAGGAGGACACCGGAGAGAAACCCACACATGCGAGGGGGAAACACTCTATCCCATACAGGGGTGAAGAGGTGGAGTCCACCTTGCTATAGCGCCTTCTGGCACAGCCTGTGTTATGGCTCCTCCTCGACGCCCACCCACAGATGGAATTTGAACTTCTTTCGCACCGTATGTAGCCAACCGTGCTAATCGGAGATGCGGGGGAAGGACAAAAAATTATGGGTCTCTGTGTGAGTCTATGGGTCTCTGTGTGAGTCTATGGGTCTCTGTGTAAGTATATAGGTCTCTGTGTGAGTCTATGGGTCTCTATTCAGTCTATGGGTCTTTGTGTGAGTCAATGGGTCTCTGTGTAAGTATATAGGTCTCTGTGTGAGTCTATGGGTATCTATGCTAATCGGAGGTGCGGGTGAAGGACAACAAACTATGCATCTCTGTGTGTCTATGGGTCGTTGTGTGAGTCTATGGGGATCGTTGTGTGAGTCTATGGGTCGTTCGTTGGCACCGTACGTAGCCAACTGTGCTAATCGGAGGTGTGGGGTAAGGACAACAAACTTACACAAAAATCAGTTCTAACGAAATTAGTTTTCAATCCAGATTATTTAAAAGCCCATAGCTCATGGTGGCTTCCTAATATCGGAAGGAAGCACGTTCCAGACAGCCGCAGAAGCGCATCTGAAAGCGCCTCGCGATGTGGCGCCCACCGTCTTTGTTCGATGGCGAGCCCCAAGAGCTGCTGCTGCTGCTGCGAGGATGACTGGAGTTCCCGATCCTTGACGAGATGGAATTATTGTTGATAATGCGTCACCTAAATGTGGATCATAGCCAAACACTGACCCCGAGTTTTATTGTAATCAACAATGGAGATGTAATCATGTGCACAATACACTGTCCCGAATACAGTTTACAATGTGCCCAATACAGTGTACACTGTACCCAATACAGTTTACACTGTACCCAATACAGTTTACACTGTCCCCAATACAGTTCACACTGTACTCAATACAGTTTACACTGTACCCATTACAGTTTACACTGTACCCATTACAGTGTACAAAAACAGTATACACTGTACCCAATACAGTTTAAACTGTACCCAATACAGTTTACACTGTACCCAAAACAGTGTACACTGTACCCAATACAGTTTACACTGTACCCAATACAGTTTACACTGTGCCCAAAACAGTTTACACTGTACCCATTACAGTTTATACTGTGCCCAATACAGTTTACATTGTGCCAAATACAGTTCGCAACTGGCATCGTCAGGGTCGGGATCGAACCCACAACCTCCTGTAATACCAGGCGAGGTAGTCAACATCTCCGAGCCATTGTAGCGTTAAGGTCGAGATCAAACCCACGACCTCCTGTATACCGGGCGAGGTAGTCAACATCTCAAAGCCACCGCGGCACTTTGACTTTGTGAGAAATTGCAATCGAGTGACTTGCGGCGTCAACTTATTTTCCATTTTTGTCTTCTTTGCCATTGAAAATTTTGACTGCAACTCCAAGGCATGCCGATGATGGCCGACTACTTTTTTGCGAACGACGTCTCCGGGAGACCTTTAACGTCCGCTCCGATAAAATCTTTAACAATGCTCCACAATAGTATTAACTCGTCGGGGGGTACGGCCCACCGGTGTTAGGAACCGCGATCGTTCTGCGACTGGGCCATCGCGCTCACCACCCCTTTCATCGCGTGGTGGAGAATGCTGCGGAGCGCTTATGGTCGTAAAAGTAGTCATCTCTGCCCTCCTCCTCATCCTCCTCCTCATCGGCCCAGCGGACTCGGTTGCTGCTGTAGTTGGATTCCAGAAGCTTCTGAGCGGTGCGGTAGCTCTTCCAAGCCTCCTCGCTCCATCCCATGCCTTCTAAATCCTCCTCATCACCATCATCACCCTCATCCTCGTCATCATCCACACCACGACCACCTCTACTGCCACACTTGCTGCCGCTGCTGTAGCTACAGACACTGTCGCATTCGACGACATCGCAGGGGGCACTGCGCCTGCCGCCGCCGCCGCTGGCGTTCGTGCAGCGGATGTCAGTGGCCATCCTCCTCCCCTCGCCCCGACACCGCTCCTCCGCTGCAGCTGCACTCCTCCGGCCTGGGCCCTGAGGCCGTGGGTCTGCGTCGGGCCAGTGACAGTCGTCGGATGCCTCCCCATCATCGCCTCTCCTCCACTCTGACTCCGGGCACCCGCGCACTTCTCTCGCTTCCCCGAGGTAACGGTCATTGCTTGTGGCATCCTCCCCATGACGGCTTCTTACCCTTGACTCCGACGCTACGAACTCTTCCCGGATCTCCCCGGGACCGTATCTCAACCTTGACTCCGATGCTCCGAACTCTTCCCGGACCTCCCCGGGACCGCATCTCAACCTTGACTCCGATGCTCCAAACTCTTCCCGGATCTCCCCAGGACCACATCTCAACCTTGACTCCGATGCTCCGAACTCTTCCCGGATCTCCCTGGGACCGCATCTCAACCTTGACTCCGATGCTCCGAACTCTTCCCGGATCTCCGCGGGACTGCATCTCAACCTTGACTCCGATGCTCCGAACTCTTCCCGGATCTCCCCAGGACCACATCTCAACCTTGACTCCGACGCTACGAACTCTTCCCGGATCTCCCCGGGACCGCATCTCAACCTTGACTCCGATGCTCCGAACTCTTCCCGGATCTCCCCGGGACCACTCCTAAAGTCCGCGTTCGGCCAGCGACACTGGTTTGTTACCTCCTCGTGACCTCCCCTCCCATCTGACTCCGAGCACCCGCGCACTTCTCTCCCCTCCGTGTGACCGCATCTCAGCATCGAGTCCGGCTCTCCGTGCTCTCCTCTGCCCCTCCCGTGACCCTCTCGCGAAAGCGGCGAGGGCACGTGGAGGCGCTGCTCCGGAATCTTTTTGCTGCTGTCCTGCCTCAAACTCAGAGCCTGACGCCCCTCCTCCCGCTCCTCCTCCACGTTCCCCGCGTGACCGCTTCTGAACGTCGAGTCCGGCGCTCCGTGCTCCGTTCTCGTCTCCCCGTGGCTGCTTCTCGACACGGGGCAGGGCGTGTGGCCGACCTGCGGCCTCGTCCCACGGGTCTCCGCTGCCTCCCTCCTATCCCCACTTCTCCCCTGGTACTGATTCGTGGCTTCTTCACGGCCGCTTCTGAACCTCGACCCAGGCTCAGTACACACCTCCGTGACCTCCACGTGACCACTTTTGGACCTTGACCCAGGCTCCGTATACACCTCTGTCACCTCCACGTGACCACTTTTGGACCTCGACCCAGGCTCCGTACACACCTTCGTGACCTCCACGTGACTGCTTCTCAGGTGGCACTGGTCCGTGACCTCGTTGAGACAGCTTCTTGACCTTAACTCAGTCTGCGTACACACTTGGTTGACCTCGATGTGACCGCTTCTGAATCCAGGCTCCGTACACACTTTCGTGACCTCCACGAGACTGCTCCTCAAGTGCGTTTGGTCCGTGACGTCGTTGAGATCGCTTCTTGACCTTGACCCAGTCTCCGCACACACCTCCGTGACCCCCACGTGACCGCCTCTTGATCCGGCCTCTGTACCCTCTCGCATATCCTTCCCGTGACTGCCCATCGTAACCGTAAGCTCTTCCGCCACTTGCCCACAACTGCTTACCACGACGGAGTCCGCCCCGTGACATTCCCCCGTGACCACTCCGAGGCTAATCCTCAGGCAGCAGCGATCCGTGACTTCCTCGTGACTTGTGCTCACCATCGACCCAGTCTGTACAGACTCTTCCCTCAACTCCTTGCCGTGACTGCTTCCCACGCTTGGACTCGGATCTCCGAACGCTTCCGTGACCTTTGTGAGATTGCTCCTGGAGTCCGACTCTCCCCTGACGTGCTCGTCCTTGACCTCCCTCCCGTCACTGCTTGGCACGCGCGGACTAAGAACTCCACAATGGCCCATGACCCCCTCCCCGTGACCGCTCTCTACTTCTGAGTCCGACTCTCGGCACTCGTCCTCGTCCTCCGTGTCGCTCCTTCTCAACCTCGGCTCCTCCGTGACCTAATAAAAATACAAATATTATTTTATTTGACCAGGTCAGGCCCACTGAGCTATGTAGCTCTTTTTGAGAAGCGACCTGGCGATCACAAATGATAGCTCAACCGAGTGGCTTATCATGGAGTCGCCACTCAGAGGCCCACAGACTCACCACACAGAGACCCATAGACTCACCACACAGAAACCCATAGACTCACCACACAGAGGCCCACAGACTCACACAGAGACCTATAGACCCATCACACAGAGACCCACAGACTCACCACACAGACCCACAGACTCACTACACAGAGACCCACAGACTCACTACACAGAGACCCACAGACTCACCACACAGAGACCCACAGACTCACCACACAGAGACAGACTAAACTAATACAAAAAATACTATTTTCGTTACCAAATGATGGCTTAACGAAGTGACTTTTTACGTGGAAATCTATAGCGGAGGCCAAATATTCTAAACGCGTGATGTCAATTCTAAATCTGGAGGGAACAACTGGAGGATCGAGAGAAAAATCCACACAACCACGGGCAGAGGGACATGCAAACTCCAAATATACATCGTCATCAGGGTCGGGATCGAACCCACGACCTCCTGCATCGTTCCCAAATATATTTTACATTGTGGGGAGATGTTAACGACCTCACCTGGTATGCCGGAGGTATATTTGGAGTGTTCATGTTCTCCCCGTGGTCGCATGGGGTATTCTCCCAATCGTCATGCCAACAGGCAGAGGTGGGACAAAGTCGTTGTTATGCAAGTCCAAGTCGAGTCTGAAGTCATCAAATTCATGACTCGAGTCTGACTCGAGTCCAAGTCACATGACTCGAGTCCACACCTCAGAGGTGGGACAAAGTCATTGTTATGCAAGTCCAAGTCGAGTCTGAAGTCATCAAATTCATGACTCGAGTCTGACTCGAGTCCAAGTCACATGACTCGAGTCCACACCTCTGCCAACAGGCATCGTCTGGGTCGCTGGGATCGAACCCACGAACTCCCGCATACCCAGTGAGGGAGTTAACATCTCATAGCCACCGCAGCGCCCCTCATTAGAAACAAAGATCCCCCATGTAGCCTTACCAGACTGTTGGGGTAAGTGCTGTTGTATAGCCGGTATGAAGGCCGGCACGGTACGCATGGGGGTGGGTGGCCAGCACCACGCCCGACCGCCTTTGTCTCCCCCAGCGTCCACGTTTACAACACATCACCACACCAGCTACTTATTCGAGGCGGAGTCGACCCCCCTCTCATGCACAAACAACACGCAGCAGCAGCAGTCGTCAGGGCACCACGGGGATCGGACCCACGACCTCCCGCATATCCAGTGAGCAGAGCCGGCCCAGCCACTAAGCGACCCTTGCAATTGCAAAGGGCCCCGTGGCCAGCAGAGGGCCCCCTAGAGTCACTGCTAGCTCGTGGATGAAAACAATCATACATCAAAGGGGCCTCCAACCAAATTTTGCTTAGGGCCCCCAAAGGTCTAGGGCCGGCTCTGCCGGTGAGGGATTTAACATCTCATAACCACCCCCCCCCCTTACCTCCCCGTGACGTCTCTGCAGCCGCACCTGGCCACCCCCTCCGGGACTGCCGTCTGCTGCCGCCCCCCCTCCTCCTCCTCCGCGACCGCCCGACGGTGGCCCCCAGCCGTGGCCGCGTGGCTCCCCCCTCTCGGCCTCGAGTCGCTCGACGCGCAGCTCCAGCGAGCGGGGCCAGCGCGGCTCCGTCGCCTCGTGGAGCAGCGGCCGAGGCCTGGCGCACCGGGCAGAAGGGGGCATTGTGGAACTGCTTCGGGGGGGGGGGGGGGGGGCTACGGTTGGTTTGGTTCGTGTTCGCTAACAGCACTTGCCACAACGGTTTGTTCAGGCTATCGGGGGGATCTTTGTCTTTGTTTGTATGTGATGTATGAGGTGGCTAGGAGATGTCGTCTCCCTCGCCTGGTGTGCATGAGCTCATGGATTCGATCCTGGACACTGACGTTGCCTGCTGCTGTATATTTGGAGTTGGCGTATTTTCTATGTCTATGGGTCTCTGTGTGGTGAGTCTGTGGATCTCTGTGTGATGAGTCTGTGGGTCTCTGTGCGGTGAGTCTGTGGGTCTTTGTGTGGTGAGTCTGTGGGTCTCTGTGTGGTGAGTCTGTGGGTCTCTGTGTGGTGAGTCTATGGGTGTGTGTGTGGTGAGTCTGTGGGTCTCTGTGTGATGAGTCTGTGGGTCTCTGTGCGGTGAGTCTGTGGGTCTCTGTGTGGCGAGTCTATAGGTCTCTGTGTGGTGAGTCTATGGGTCTCTGTGTGATGACTCTGTGGGTCTCTGTGTGGTGAGTCTGTGGGTCTCTGTGTGGTGAATCTGTGGGTTTCTGTGTGGTGAGTCTGTGGGTCTCTGTGTGGTGAGTCTGTGGGTCTCTTAGTGATGAGTCTGTGGGTCTCTGTGTGGTGAGTCTATGGGTCTCTGTGTGGTGAGTTTAGAGTATTCCGCTCCTACTCTACATTTCCACACGTGATGATGAGAAGCCACTTCGCTGAGCTGTCGTTTGTGGCCAAATTGCCTCTGAAAAAGAGCTACATAGCTCAGTGGGCCTTACCTGGGTATTTAAATCGTTTTAGTTGAACACGTGTTGGTTTTTGCGACCAATATCACGCATAATACAGATTTAATTTTGGGTGAGATCGCCTAAATATAAATGTGCCATTAAACTCTCCACCACTCGACACCGCCAATTGGTGAGGTTTGTCACGTAAACAGAACGTGCCAATTCGTTATGGGTACAGCACACCGGTGTGTTGGAGAGCAAATCTACAGCACCCCCCCCCAAAATAACCTGTATCGTGGATAGAGTTTAGTTTAGTCTTAGTTTAGCAGAAGGTGATATCACGGATGATCTTCTGAGCTCCCTACGAGTAACTTTATATGCGCACATTTCCCCATGTCTGGAGACGTTCATCGCATGACAATATTAAAAACAATATGAGTTGAAGCTAGTAGTCATGGAAGTTGGTCAGGTTAAATTAAAAATACAATTATTTAATGGTCCCGGGTATTTCGTGGAGGTTTTGGTAACTGGATGGCCACCAGATCATTAAGAAATTCCCTAAATTATGCAAGAATCTCACAACCACCGAACTACTCAGCCACCCACACACCCCTGCCCCTCCCACTCACCACCCAGACACCCCCTCCTGCCCCCACCACTCAGTCACCCACACCCCCCTGCCCCTCCCACTCACCACCCCCCCCCCCTGCCCCCACCACTCAGCCACCCAGACACCCCCCTGCCCCTCCCACTCACCACCCACACACCCCCACTGCCCCCACCACCCAGACACCCACACCCCCCCCCCTGCCACTCCCACTCACCACCCACACACCCCCCCTGCCCCCACCACTCAGCCACCCACACACCCCCCCTGCCCCTCCCACTCAGCCACCCACACCCCCCCCTGCCCCCACCACTCACCACCCACACACACCCCCCTGCCCCCACCACTCACCACCCACACACCCCCCCTGCCCCTCCCACTCACCACCCACACACCCCCCCTGCCCCCACCACTCACCACCCACACACCCCCCCTGCCCCCACCACTCACCACCCACACACACCCCCTGCCCCTCCACTCACCACCCACACACCCCCCACTGCCCCCACCACCCACACACCCCCCTGCCCCTCCCACTCACCACCCACACACCCCCCCTGCCCCCACCACTCAGCCACCCACACACCCCCCCTGCCCCCACAACTCAGCCACCCACACACCCCCCCTGCCCCTCCCACTCAGCCACCCACACCCCCCCCCCCTGCCCCCACCACTCACCACCCACACACCCCCCACTGCCCCCACCACTCACCACCCACACACCCCCCCTGCCCCCACCACTCACCACCCACACACCCCCCCCTGCCCCCACCACTCACCACCCACACACCCCCCCTGCCCCCACCACCCACACACCCACACACCCCCCCTGCCCCTCCCACTCACCACCCACACCACCCCGCCTGCCCCCACCACTCACCACCCACACACCCCCCCTGCCCCTCCCACTCACCACCCACACACCCCCCCTGCCCCCACCACCCACACACCCACACACCCCCCCTGCCCCTCCCACTCACCACCCACACACCCCGCCTGCCCCCACCACCCACACACCCACACACCCCCCCTGCCCCTCCCACTCACCACCCACACACCCCGCCTGCCCCCACCACTCACCACCCACACACCCCCCCTGCCCCCACCACCCACACACCCCCCCTGCCCCCACCACCCACACACCCCCCCTGCCCCCACCACCCACACACCCCCCCTGCCCCTCCCACTCACCACCCACACACCCCGCCTGCCCCCACCACCCACACACCCACACACCCCCCCTGCCCCTCCCACTCACCACCCACACACCCCCCACTGCCCCCACCACTCAGCCACCCACACACCCCCCCTGCCCCCACCACTCACCACCCACACACCCCCCACTGCCCCCACCACTCAGCCACCCACACACCCCCCCTGCCCCTCCCACTCAGCCACCCACACCCCCCCCCTGCCCCCACCACTCACCACCCACACACCCCACTGCCCCCACCACCCACACACCCCCCTGCCCCCACCACTCAGCCACCCACACACCCCCCCTGCCCCTCCCACTCAGCCACCCACACACCCCCCCTGCCCCTCCCACTCAGCCACCCACACCCCCCCCCCTGCCCCTTCCCAGGCTGTCAGGTTCAGATTCAGCGTTGTGGTCAGAGTCGGGCTGCCGTTTGGGGTGAAAGTCGTCGGGGTGAGTGAAGAGTCGTCGCTCACTCGCTCCGCTCTCTCTCCTCCGCGAGGGGACGGCCCCAGTTGGACTCCAGCTCCGCCAGCCGCGCCCGCAGGCCCGCGACCTCCCGGCGGGCGCCCAGCGTCCACCACGCCAGCGCCGCCAGGAGCGGCCGCTGCTGCCGGGGCCCATCGGCCCGTCGCTTGGCGGCCTCTGGCTTGGCCGTCCCAGGCCCGGGGGCCCCGGATCCGGGCCGCCCGGCCTCCTCCCGGTCCGCGCTCGGGGCCGACGGCTTCCCAGCGACGGGCCGAGGGGCCGCGTCCGAGCGACGCGTTGGTGCCTACGCGGTGAAGGAGGGGAAACGGCGGCGCTCACGACAGAGAGGGGCACGTGGATTAGGGAGCGCGCCTACACACACATGGTGGAGACATCATCATCATCACCACATTGAACTTCATCGAACAGTGGATGAACCACGATGATGATTATACTGAGAGGCAGAGAGATTCATACACAGAGAGCCACAGACTCAACACCCAGAGACCCATAGACACACACACAGAGCCACAGACTCGCACAGAGACCCACAGACTCACACAGAGACCCACAGACTCATTGAGAGACCCACAGACTCACACAGAGACCCACAGACTGACACACAGAAGCCCACAGACTCACCACACAGAGACCCACAGACTCATTGAGAGACCCACAGACTCACCACACAGAAACCCAAAGACTCATCACACAGAGACCCACAGACTCATTGAGAGACCCACAGACTCACCACACAGAAACCCAAAGACTCAACACACAGAGACCCACAGACTCACACAGAGACCCGTAGACTCACACAGAGACCCATAGACTCCCAAAATAGACCCGTAGAATCGCATGAAAACCCATAGACTCACACAGAGATCCGTAGTTTGTTGATCCTCCCCGGCACCTCCGATTAGCACGGTTGGCTACGTATGGTGCGAAAGAAGTTCAACATGCACACATATTAGGGAACACATTTTGTATAACGCAGATGCGGATGGATATAGCGCGATCGAGTGAACGGAGCTACGTCACGCGGCGTAGCACCGTCATCACACAAGGCTTCATACTCTTAGGTTTTTTCGGTAAAGTCACGTAGGTATTTTTTTTATTAATTAAAGTAATAATGGAAATAAAATAAAATAATAAATCACGACGTTTCGGAGGCAACACAAGTCTCCGTCATCAGGTGAGACCGTCACAGCCAGATTCACTGTATCCAGTGAGTGAAAGCTTCAAATCTAAAATCACACAAGGCGTTGAGATGATGCTCCCAGATGGCCAGCCTGCGTACACATCTTACGCGTTATCGCGGACTGGAAACTAAGGGGCCGTCCATAAATGACGTCATGCACCTGGGGGGGGGGGGGTCAGACATTTGTGACGATGGGGGGGGGGGGGTTGAGAAATGTGACGTCACATCAAAATGCGCAACTTTAAAAAAACATAGTCAACACGTTCTACTTAATTAAATAGACTTTTTAATAAATGTTTTCTCCTACAACATCAGAGTGCAGTTCCCAAGCTCTGCGGTCCCCTATCTATCATCTCAACTTGTAACGCGTACAGACAGACAGACAGAGAGAGGGGTGAGGAGGAAGAGGAACCACGCACAAGCAGCGGCAAGGCATGGGCTGCTGTATACAAAGTGACGGGCGCTATACCAACAGTTTTGCTCGATTTAACACGTAGCAGGCTTTCGCCACCAATATTATTCATCATAAAGGTTTTTGGGTCAGATCGCGTTATTTATAAATGTGTCGTAACCCTCCACCACCCGACACGGCCAATCAGTAAAAAATGTGTCACGTTTTCAAAAGACAAAATAATTTACTTATTTAGCCCACCGGTGTGCTGAAGAGAGATTCAACAGCATTTTTTAATTTGAGTAGTTCGACGTTTCGCTGATAGTTACAATCAGCTTCATCGGGCAAGAATGGTGAAGCTCTCCTGTTGCTTCCGGTCTTAAATAGAGCAGCATCAGGGTGACGTCATCAGTTAATTCCATTCAATCTGGTGCAGTGATTCGAGGCAAAGAGGGTATTGTAATTATATAGATTGGTAATCATTCAATTGTTATTCATTGGTGTTTGTTTCCCTTTTAAGGAATTGCCATTGTATTTATTTAATAAAAGTGACACATTTTTTACTGTTTGGCCGTGTCGGGTGGTGGAGGGTTACGACACATTGATAAATAACGCGATCTAAACCCAAAAACCTTCATTATGAGTTTTGCTCGAGTTCTGCCCGAGTCTCCGACACGGCGTGACGCACAGACCCCGATTCTCTCCCTCTGACGCCACAGTCTGGAGCCGAGAAATCGCAGAGCGAGGAGCAGGAGGAGAAGCAGCAGCAGCCACGGCAGGCCAGAGGCATGCGGAGACGTCAGGACCCTGCGGGCAGCAGTGGGAGAGAGATCCGCTTAAGACGACTGTCACATGTGTGGACAATTCGATACGCGCGGTATGAAGTTGCTGTGCAATAACTAAACTTTGGATGCATTTACCGTTGTTTTAATGTCGTGAACGAAAGTATATGTGAAGTGAAATGATAAATAAATACTCTGAAGTTAGTTAATAAATAATACAATTATCCATCTACTGTACTATATAAATAGATATGACGTACTCATACATACAGACACATGCACATACACACAATCACACACTCACATACACACACACAATCACATACACACTCACATACACACACACAATCACACACACACACAATCACACTCACACACGATCACACTCACAACGACATACACACTCACACACAATTACATACACACAATCACACACACACAATCACATACACACTCACGCACACACACAATCACATACACACTCACACACAATCACACACACACAATCACATACACACTCACGCACACACACAATCACATACACACTCACACACAATCACACTCACACAATCACACACAATCACACACACACACAATCACATACACAATCACATACACACTCATACAGACAAAGACCCCCCTATAGCCTGCACGTGCTGTTGGGGCAAGTGCTGTTAGTGTAGTTCAGCACTGTGGCACACCAGGCAGTGGGTGGCAACCACCACGACCCGGCCGCCTTTGTCTCCCCAGTGGCGATGTTTACTACGCACCGTACCACGTGACTCACTTGAGGCCGAGTGGACCTAGGGGAGTCCCGCACAGACACTCACCGCTTCGTGGCGAGGCGGACGCGGTCGAGAAGACAGCCGCAGAGCGAGTGGTGGTGCAGCAATGATGCTGCTGATGATGATGCTGCTGATGATGATGAAGCTGCTGATGCTGCTGATGCTGCTGCTGATGATGCTGCTGATGATGCTGATGATGACGCCTCCACTATAAACGCTTTAACGGCGTGAGTCCAAAACATCATCATCATCAGCAGCATCATCATGAAGAAGGTCGCTACGGAGATAAGGCAAGTGCTGTTGCTGATGACGATGGTTGATGCTGCTGCTGCTGATGATGATTGTACTGCCGCAGCTAATGTCGATACTGCTGATGATGCATATAGACAAAGTGGCTGATGATACTGCTGATGATGCTGATACTTGCAGATGATGATGTCGCTGCTGCTGCTTATAATATAGCTGCTGCTGATGATGATGTCCCTGTCGATGATGCTGATGATGATACTGCTGATGATGCTGATGGTGCTGATGATGATACTGCTGATGATGATGCTGATGGTGCTGATGATGCTGCTGCTGATGGTGCTGATGATGACGTTGCTGCTGATGGTGCTGCTGCTGATGATGATGTTGCTGCTGCTCATGTCCCTGTCGATGCTGCTGATGCTGCTGCTGATAATGGTGATGAAGCTGATGATGCTGATGTTGCTGATGATGATGCTGATGATGATGCCGCTGACGATGATGATGTTGCTGCTGATGATGATGCTGCTGATGATGATGTCCCTGCTGATGATGCTGCTGCTGATGATGTCCCTGCTGATGGTGGTGGTGATGGTGGTGATGATGATGGTGGTGATGAAACTGATGATGCTGATGTTGCTGATGATGATGCTGATGATGATGCCGCTGACGATGATGATGTTGCTGCTGATGATGATGCTGCTGATGATGATGTCCCTGCTGATGATGCTGCTGATGATGTCCCTGCTGATGGTGGTGGTGATGGTGGTGATGATGATGGTGGTGATGAAGCTGATGATGCTGCTGATAGTGGTGATGATGATGATGCTGCTGCTGCTGATGATGATGGTGGTGGTGATGATGATGATGGTGGTGGTGGTGATGATGATGCTGATGATGACGATGACGATGCTGATGATGATGATGTCCCTGCTGATGATGCTGATGATGGAGGTGGTGGAGTTGGAGACCCAAACGGCCAAACGGACCCGGCTCGCGACCCGGGCACGCGCCACAAAGACAACGCTCCCCCGTGTAGCCTCTCTGTGGCTGTCGCGGCAAGTGCTGCTGATTATACTATTGCTGCTGCTGATGTTGATTGCACTATTGCTGATGATGATTGCACTATTGCTGATGATTATTGTGTACTATTGCTGATTATGATTGTACTATTGCTGATGATGATTGTACTATTGCTGCTGATGATGACTGTACTATTGCTGATTATGATTGTACTATTGCTGATGATGATTGTACTATTGGTGATGATGATGATGATTGTACTATTGCTGATGATTGTACTATTGCTGATGATTGTACTATTGCTGCTGCTGATGATTGTACTATTGCTGCTGATGATGATTGTACTATTGCTGCTGCTGCTACTGCTGATGATTGTACTATTGATGATGATTGTATTATTGCTGATGACGATTGATTGATGGCTTATGATAATACTGTTGATGATACTGTACGGACTCTACACGTGTATAAAGACAAAGATCCCCCGTGTAGCCTGTGACAGGCTGTTGGGGCAAGTGCTGTTAGCGAGTAGCAGCGCCTATGAAGGTCGGCACAGCACACGAGGGGGTGGGTGGCCAACACCCCGCCCGGCCGCCTTTGTCTCCCCAGTGGCGATGTTTATTACGCGACACCAGGTTCTCACTTGAGGCTGAGTCGACCTAGATACTGATAGACGCACAACCTGCATTAGCACACACACACAGACACACACACACCCAGACACACACCCAGACACACACAGACACACACACACAGACACACACAGACACCCAGACACACACCCAGACACACACACACAGACACACCCAGACACAAACCCAGACACACACACAACACACACACTCTGATTACTGTAGTTTCAGTAAGGCAGCTCCATGAACTCTGAGTCCCACCTTCGAGAGAGAGGGGGGGTTGTTGTTGTAGACTCCACGCATGCACGCGTCGAGCCTAAATGAAGTAACTTCATTTAAATAAATAATAATAAAACTATTTTTTAAACGCGCTTTAATGAAATGTACAAGTAATGGAAGAACTCCACTACTCCAGGAAGTGGCCCCGAAGCTTGCCACAACGTAAGGGGCCGTGGCCAATTACAGCCAATGCCAGTTGAGCGTGGACAATTAGACCCAAGCCGAAACATAACATGTAAAAAATAATGTTTAAAAATATAAACTTTTTATTTTTAATGATAGAATATAGTATTGTCATCAGTATGACATAAGTATACCAAGTTTGCAGTCGACACCACATTGCGAAGTGGGTTAAATTTTAGTTACTAGATTTGAAGATACAACAACAGTGTGAGTTAAATGGAAGCTGTAATAAATCAATTATTTTCTTTTACTTGACCATGTCAAGTCTACGGAGCGACGTAACTCTTTTTCATAAACGACGCGGCTATCACAAATGATAGCTCAACAAAGTGGCTTATTATCATCATCATCAAGTGGAAATGTCGAGTGTCAGCCAATTGCTCTAAGCTCATCACTCAGAGACCCACAGACTCACCATGCAGAGACACATAGACTCACCACACAGATTCCCAAAGACTCATCACACAGAGACCCATAGACTCACCACACAGGGACCCATAGACTCACCTCAGATTCTCAAAGACTCATCACACAGATACTCAAATACTCGTCACACAGAGACCCATAAACTCACCACGCAGAGACCCATAGACTCATCACACAGATACCCAAAGACTCACCACACAGAGATCCATATCCATAGACTTACCACACAGAGACCCATAGACTTACCACACAGAGATCCAGACTCACCACGCAGAGACCCATGGACTCATCACACAGAGGACCACAGACTCACGATGACTCACAGACTCGCCACACTAAGACCCATAGACTCATCACACAGAGACCCACAGACTCATCACACAAAACTCCATAGACTCACAGAGTGCCATAGATTAACACAGCGGTCTAGCCTCACCACACAGAGGCCCATAGAGTCACTGTATCAAACAGTCTTCCTGTAACACTAAACCTGTCCATATCGATTCTCCTGGACTCACCCTGAAAATGTTAAATATAAAATATTATCGCACGCATGACTCAGTTCTGTAGCCTTTAAAATGAACTTCCACATGAACCACTTTACCAAGGTACACCTGTGCAAATTTGGAAAACATCCTAATGAACTAATTGACCTGAAGGTTTAACACGCAGTAGGCTTTTGCGACCAATATTTTCCATAATAGAGGTTTTTTTTGGGTTACAAATATAGATGTCGTTAAACCCGCCACCACACGACACAGTAAATTAGTAGTAAGGTTTGTCACGTAAACAACACGTGACAATTCGTTATTCTTTCAGTACACCGGTTGTGTGTTGGAGAGTAAACCCACAACATTTACAATTCGTTACTCGGTCATACACCGGTTGTGTGTTGGAGAGTAAACCCACAACATTTTCCATTCGAGTGCCGTGACGTCTCACTGGTAATTACAACCAGCCTCATCAGGCGACAGCCACAATTGTGGAGAAACCCTCCTGTTTCGGTCTTAAATAGAGGAGTCAGTGTGATGTTGTCACTGTGAGCCCATCAGATGCGAAGACCAGAGGGGGGGGGGGGGGTTAAGGTATTCATAGACATTACAATGCATAGCTGTTAGTAAGACAATATGGAGAATACTGTATTCATAGCTCTAAACTTGGGAAGTGTCTTTGGTTGAGATCCGTCAATTTGCATTTTATCTATCTGTAGTTTATATTCTTGGTTCTTTTGGTAAAGTCACGTAGAAGGGAAACAATAAAATTTCCTTGCTGTGGTTTTCACACCTCATGATGATTGCTTGTGTTGCAATCGAAACGTCGTGATAATTTAATTGTTTTATATTTTTTTTATTATTTTATTGTTTCCCTTCTACGTAACTTTATCGAAAGAACCAAGAATATGAATCCCTGCAGTCACGAAAGCTTTAAATCAAAATTGATCTGTAGTTTATCGAATCGTTACATCTGAGACTGACGAATAATTTCAACCTAGTCCTGGAATCAGTTTATTTTGGCCTGCAAAAACGACTGCGACTTTGTGTAAATTGTACTGCGGTTTCTATTGTGAGGTTGAGAATTAATCTATAGAAAACCAACCTGTGGCTGGACTCGATCTCATTTCATTGCTGGCTGTTTTGGTTGTCTGGGCTCGTGGACCTCTCGAGAGGAGGTTTGGATTTGGGCCTTTTGGAGTTTCTCCAATTTAGGCATTTTTAGAGGCAATAGCGTTGCATCACAATAACCATTTATTTGTATTCATACTCTTTGGTTCTTTTCTAACTACGTAAAGTCACGTAGTTAGAAATAAAATAAAACAAATCACGACGTTTCGATCGCAACACAAGCGAACTTCATTAGGTGGAGAGTATGGATTCCTGCAGTCACGAAAGCTTCAAATCAATATTGAACCATTGGTGTCGTTGTTTGCTTGCATTTCCCTCATGCTATATCACATTGTGCCTCGTGGAGTGAGCACCACGGCTGAAATGCCATATCTAATCAGGGCTCAAACTCCCGCAATGGTGTGAGCCACCCCAATTCCCAGTGATGTTTGTGTGTTTCAGCTGAGCAGTCCCCAGGGCCTTGATCTTCACCAGATCCTGCCCATTAGTCAGTGCGTTGTTGTACCCTTGCTGGAGTCCATAAATGACGCGATGCTCAGCCCATTCCGTGCTCCCAGCGGATGCCTCTTATAATGTTTGCAGTGTGGCCACATTGATGATGTTGGCAGTGCCTGTGTGTGTGTGCTTGTGTGTATGAGGAGTAGTAACCTGCGTGCAGCAATGCTTCTCGTAAAAAAATCATTCAGTTCGGTGTGTGATGGTTTAACTTGATGTTCAGTGACAGAGTTAGCCAATTGTACAAAGAGAAGAGCAATTCCCGAAATGTCACATGTATCCTCTATGGAGCATGCTCTAGACGAATATGGATTTTTCTCATTTGTGCTGCTTCAAAACTTCCAATGCAATGAAAACGAATGTTCATTCTCGAATACAGTTTCTCTAATACAGTAGACTCTCGATTACCCGCGCTAATGACGGAGAGGATGGCCACAGATAATTCAGCATTGTGGATAATCCAAAAATATAAAAATTTCCGTGGATTTCTATGCCAAATATTAACGATTGACGGATCGATGCGTGTGCTGAGTGATAACACTTTTCTGCTCCCGCGCAGAAGACTCCGCCCACGTAGTATATATCAGAGCCATGCCAATCAAAATCAATCAAACTCCGCCCATTGTTGTAAAGATATGGCAACTACTGTATTGTAGAGGCGATCACGGGGATTTCGGATTAATAGGAGCACATATTTGATCAGTTTAAGATCGTGACTTGTAATAAACATTTCCAAGAATATCAATACATCACTGTTTTTAGATTATTAATTTGGGCTTAGCGAAAACTCCACGAGTTAGTAATTTATGTCAAAATCTCAGGTGCGCTGTTAATCCTCAAATCGTATAAACTGCACGTGGATAATCGAGAGCCTATTGTACTCTTAAAAAGATATGGCCGCACCCTTGTATGATTTTTTTTGTTACACTAACACATGGCAAGCGGTGATTTGTTTTAATAATTTTCTTTGTTCATATAATTAGAAATGTATTCTGCATGTTAAATAAATAGAAACTTTAAATTTGAGATTGACGTTAGATGCATGACTTTCTCAGGAACGTGTTCTTCTAAATGTAAGCCCACTGTTACACTTGGGAGATTGTTTGAAATCCTGAAAGCAGCAGGCATTCAGCAGCGGTTTGAAGAATACGTGGTACAATTCTGGCTTTATTAGGCACACATGGAATACAAGCAACACCGCTTGATCGCAATCATAATATACAGATCAAAATTACCTGACCCTTAACACAGCATTACAGCGTGCACAATACTTAAGGTTCCAGACAGTATCCTGGAATGTAGCATAGTTTAACCGAAAATATGGATTAAATAAATCAAGTTTACTTCTCACGGAGTTTAATAGCAATACACTCTAGAACATAAACTGTCAGAAAACAATGAACGAGTATTTATTTACATCGATTCATTTGCTCAGAGTCCAAACATAATAAAATCTAATTACTGTACAATTGTTGTGTGTTTGAGAAACAGTATTTCCCTCCTCTTTGTTTCTCTATTTATATAAAAGAGAAATTTGTGAATATGTGTGTCTGATCGAAATATTTAGCATATTTACCGACATGCAAAAAACTAGAAATTTTGCATGTGGGTAGTTTCCAGACTGTACACAATGCAAAAAGTATAAAAATCGATTTTTGTATTTTAGGGGGGGAGGGGGCGGGGCGCAATAATGGATATATTTTGCACGGAAAGTGAGCGGTGACGTCACATCTGTGACGTCACATCTGTGACGTCACATCTGTGATGTCACATCTGTGATGTCCCATCTGTGACGTCACATCTGTGACGTCACATCTGTGAGGTCACATCTGTGAGGTCACATCTGTGAGGTCACATCTGTGACGTCACATCTATGAGGTCACATCTGTGATGTCACATCTGTGACGTCACATCTGTGATGTCACATCTGTGACGTCACATCTGTGACGTCACATCTGTGACGTCACATCTGTGACGTCACATCTGTGAGGTCACATCTGTGAGGTCACATCTGTGACGTCACATCTGTGACGTCACATCTGTGACATCACATCTGTGAGGTCACATCTGTGAGGTCACATCTGTGAGATCACATCTGTGACGTCACATCTGTGAGGTCACATCTGTGACGTCACATCTGTGATGTCACCCGCATGCGGCAGCGTCACGCAGTGTGCCTGCTGACGTCACGCATACCCCCCCCCCACCCTTCGCGTAGGCCGTGCATTAATTCAAGACAAGAATCCAAGTCCCGGGCGAAGCCGGGTAGTAAAGCGAGTACAATATAAATAGCCATCCCATACCTTAGATCAGTGGTTCTTAACCTGATTTTTTTAGACGGTAAATAATCGAAACACAAATAAAGCACGGGCACACAAGTATAACAACTTTGTTTCATTAAACCCTCTATGTGTTTATTAACGTCGTACATTTGTTTACGATTGAGAACCAAAGGGGTGCAAGGCTGCAGTAAAGACCAAGAACCACTGCCTAAGAAAATTATATATTCTAATTATTTAATATCGTGCCACTATTTTCGAACACTGCCAGAGGCTAATTATCTTCACCTTGAGATAAGTGATGACTGTGAAAAAGAGCTTTATAGCTCATCGGATTTCTCCAGTATTAATATAATAAATTAAATATTCTGATGCTGATCAACACCACCATCATCACCACCACCACGAATATTAACTGGCATTCACTGATGTAGAAGCTCTATGAGACCTCCTTTACCAGTGGCAAAATATAGTAATAGGTTTTTACCCTTTCAACTGGTACAAAAACCTACTACTATATTTTGCCACTGGTAAAAGAGATCTCATAGTGTAAATGCTTACCCCGAGCTCTCAATACTCTGATAGTGCGCTGTCTTTGAGTTGTACGCCTTTTGGCGTCATCTGGTCCAACACCAATGGAGACTAGGCTCTAAGAAAAGCTGTCTCGGGTGTGGACCAATCAACTTCAAGGACAGTGCATATCATTATCATCATCAGAGTTGTTTCTTTATGTTTGCATTTTGACTGCTTGTGTTGTGGTTATTGCAAACATGATGCCTTGTATAAAGGTGTCAGTTTTTGTACCAGTTGAAAGGGTAAAAACCTATTACTATGTGATGTAGAAGCTGTCGAAGAAAATGCCATCCAGCTGTCTTTGGACTTCACCATTATCATCATCATCAGAGTCCATGGGCAGATAGCCCGGAGATGTCCACTGCACATTTCGTAATTTGTCTCCACTTTCCTCCGTCTTGTGCAAATATTCTCAAGTAGTGGCCACATCTTTATGGCACCAATCACCTCTTGTGTTGTGAAACCATTCTCTGTTAGGTCTCCCTATCTTTCCGGTTCCTTCCATTTTTCCGAACAACACACTTTGCATTTTCCTGTTGTTATCCATCCTACATATCTGTCCAAATAATTCCAGTTTCCTTCTCATCACTGCCTGCATCGTCAGGTCTTCTTCTGTATGCAACCTTTGTCTTACTTCTACGCTGGTCACTCTCTGTAGCAATACATTTCGAGTGCAAACATCTTATCTCTGTCAGTCTTAATCTAGATTTGAAGTTGTCGTCACTGCAGGGATCTGATTTGTGGATTAACCTCGGACCTGAGATTGACATAAATTAATTACTCATGGATTTTCCCTTAAGCCCAAATTAATCATCTAAAAACAGTTCAACATTGTTATTCTTGGAAATATTTATTACAAGTAACATGCTTAAACTGAACAATTATGTGTTCCGGTTTATCCGATATTCACGTGATCACCCCTCTACAGTACAGTAGTTGCCGTATCTTGACAACAGTGAGCAGAGTTTGATTATGATTGGCGTGTTTCTGATATTCGCTTCGTGGGCCGAGTCTTCTGCACAGGAGTAGGAAAGTGTTATCACTGAGAACACGCATCGATTAATCGTATATTCGTGGTTTTTGGCAAACATATCCATGGGAAATGTTAATATTTTTGGATTATCCGCAATTTTTAATGATCTGTAACCGTCCTCTTTGTCATGAGCGTGGATAATCAGAGTCTACGGTATTTCCAAAAACAACTGCTTTCACAATGCTAGTGAGAATGTTTTTTTTAAGTCTTTCATAATCTTCTTTTTATTTGTTTTGATCTCTTTCCAAGCATCGGGAATATCTGCCGACAAAGCCTTATGTCTTTCAGCAAATTTCCCATTGTATTTGCAGAACACGATCTTCCAGAAAGTCGTGGCCTCCAGGCTGGTGTCCGACTGAATGAGCCACGAGGCAAAGTAATCATTGATAGTGCGGTATTCCTTGTAGGGGATACATCTCGCATTTGATCGTGCACAGCGGTATGTCCTATTGCTGGCAACAGCTGTTGTGCAAACTTCAACAGACAACTTCTGAGTTGTTATGAACCGAACTCCATTAAGGCCCAAAGGATAATGCAGCACCGAACAGTGCTCCCTATGTCCACCGCCTCCCTGGTCACAAGGCACCCCACAGAAAGGACACTGCTTCTCACAGCCAGCCAGGCTCTTGTAGAGCTCGATGTGCGGCTGCACAGTGAGACGACTCAACCACGCCGCACACTCGGCGTCACTGGCGACACTGAATCCTCGTAACATTTCCCCTTCAGCAGAGTCCAACGAACTCTTGAGTTCTTCCGAAAATTGCTTGACACTGTTTGTGTCTTTGAACAACAAAGACCCAACTATGTCAATGAAATCCTTATTAATGATGATGTGATTGAGCAGACACTCCCCCAAGCTGTCTGAGAATTTCCAAAGTGTGGTCGGAGTGGCTATTTGTTTTGTGACAGTGTCCACAGATTTCTTCACTTCTTTAATCAGATTGCTCAAAATGGCGCTTGAGAGATGGTACATCTTAGATTGTGATCCATGCTTACTCTGGCAGTGCTTTATGACCTGGGCCTTTATCCATTCTTTTGTAAAACCTGCATAATTCGTGATGTATCTGTCGTAATTTTCAAAGTCGTCTTCATCCAACAAATGCAGTAGCATTGCCAGTTGAAGGTTTTTCCGGCTCAAAAACGTAGGGCTACCGCTATCGCTCTTCACGTTCTTCGCAATATCCATCCCCAATTTGTTGTCGACAGCCTCAAGTAGAGACGGCTTCAAGCACTCGTTACAAAAGGTCTTTGCATGTTCCATATTTTCATCCCCTTGACGATAGAGTTCCTTGAAAATAACAAAATATGACTCCTCAACTTGCTTCAATTTATTTTTAGGATCATTGACTTCATTGTTAATGTCATGTTTATCTTGCCATGTTTTTATGGCGATGTGACATACAATCACAGTGGTATCTATTACTAAGTCTTTGCTGATCATAATGTTCAGATTTTCAGCCTCTTTAAATGCGACCCTTACTTGTTGCAGAAGTTCGTCACAATAGGCGGAGCAATAATCGTAATGTTTTATTTTGTCCTCAATATACCGGCTCATGTTTGTGATTATCGAGCGAGAACGTTCCTTCGACTGGTTCACACCTGAGTCATCCTCTTGGGTTGGTTTATTTCTACGTCCAGCCGATTTGACAGGTGTTTCTGGCCCTTGTCGACATTCGTTTACAATTTTGTCGCGATATTTGTCGTCCTGTGAAGTTTCCCGCAATGCTTCACTTACAAGCAGCTGATATTCTATTTTACTGTCAATCAGCGCTTTCTGCACATCTCTGTAAACGTTGTGGCGGGTCAATTTAATTTCTGGGAGGAATTTAACCACCTCTGTCCACATGTTGTCAAACTCTTTCTTGAGCTGTTGTTCGTTTAATTGTATGTCCTCGTTCTTGCAACGCTGAAGAAGGGAATGAACTTCCAATCCAATGATCTTTTTTCTTTTTGATTCAAGCTCATCTATGGAGTGTCGAGACTGTCTCCTGCAGACTAATTGTTTGAATATGTTCAGGGTTTCATCGTGTGATTTGCTGCATAGGTGATTGGCGCTGATGTTGAAGTCCTCTTTGTATTTCTCAACTAAATGCACATCATTGCTTTTGTTTTCAAAGTAGCTTTTTAATTTGTTCTGTATAGCGACTTTTCCTTTTGAAATCTCATTCCCTAATTCAAGCTCCAACTGTTGAAGAATTTCCTGAAGCTTCTCGTGTTTCACGTTCATTATTCTATTCTCCATCTCCTGCGTCCAAGAAAGAATTTCCTTCCGATATTCCCACTCCCAGTCTGTATATTGAACACACAGTTTGTAATACGCATCGGCAACCAAGCTGTTCCTGAAACTGAATATGAAGTGCTCCTTTGTCACTGCTTCCCAGATGCTTCCGATCCAAGCGCTGAACTCTGACAGCGTTGAAGCTCCCTGTGTTTCTGCTCTCTTTTTAAAATGGTCTATCAGGTGCTGCTTGAGTTGAAAAACCTGATCGCTGTACGCAGCACTGACTGCAGCCATTGGAGGGGTTCCATGCCAGAGGCCGGGAATGTACCAGTTGTCCCGACTCACGTCGTGCTCCATGACGTCGGTGAATTTACTGTAAGTGGACTCCTTGTGCTCCATTCTTGCAGCTGCCACCGTCATGGCATTCAATTGATCGATGAGGTGTTCGTTCTCCATGATGTTCTTGTCGGAGGCAGCGACATCGCCCGAATTCTGATGCACAAACTGGCAACTCGGTTTCTTGCCCACTGCTTTCATTCTCAAAAAAGCGTGGACGACGATTTGCAGAACGTCCTTCATGTCTTCGGCATTTTCCGTTGCCAGGTTAATGAGCGTGACATCGCTCAAACCAACGAACACCGTGGCCAGCTCATTGTCGTGCTCGTGGTTGTCGTGAAGTGTTGCCAGCTGAGGAGCTTTCAGCCCTTCTGTGTCAATCACCAGGATGAAGTCACACGCCAGTTCTCGTCTCAGCTCATCGTCAACGCTGACGAGCTGCATGAAAGCGCCGCGTGTGCAGCGGCCACTGCTCACTGCGAACTGCAGCCCAAACATGGTGTTGAGAAGCGTGGACTTGCCTGTGCTCTGCACCCCCAGCACGGTCAGGACGAACACGCGGGGGTCTCGGCCAAGCCTAGTCCTCACTGCCTTAAGCACGTCGGTCACCCAGTCAATGGGAATACAGCCAACGTCTCCATCCATCAGCTCCAAGGGAAACCCCTCCAAGAACAACTCCGCAGCAACAGATGGGAGTGTCAGTACCTCGGGGCAGGCAGGTTTAGGTGGTTTTATGGTACTGGATGTTTTATGCTTGGAAATTGCTTTAGTTGCTTCATAACACTGTCCGATTTCCCTCATGAAGTGTTCCATTCCTAATGAGTTTGATGACATTAATTATTTAATCGTATGCAGATCTGCACTTTTAGTCGTAGAATCAACAAGTAGCTGCTTGTAATCAGCGCGTAACGAGGAAAAGCTGGTCCTGGATAAACTGTTCAGTTCCAATTTCATCCATTGAAGGGCGTACATTTTCATTATGGTCGACTTGTCTAACAGTAAATCAACGCACATTTGCATAATATCTGAAAAACCTTTACCTGCCTGTTCAATGCGAATTTCTCTTTGTGTTTCAACTAATCTACATATGTATTCTTCTACAGAATCACCGACTTTCTTCAGCCGATTTTGCTCTTTTTTGCTTTCTGACCACCTGCGCCAAAGATCTCCTTGCAATGGGAGATCTCTCTTACTCTCTTTTACACCATCCTCTTTTATTTTGTCAATAATTACTTTGACTTTTCGTTTAGTTCGCTGACATTTATTTTCACATTCATCGACTGTAATTTCTAATGATTTAGCAAAGTGGGCCATTTCTTCCATTGTCCTGGAATTTGTACTACTTTTGATTACATCTGCGATCTTACAGCGCATTTTCCGAGTAAAATACTCTTCATTGTGCTTGCCTAGTTTAATAATGTTTGTTTTCTCTAATTTCAGCTGAGACCAGACGTCAGTGATTGCATTTGAGTTCCTGATTCTCCTAAGCACGTCCTGATTTGTTATCAGAAACAACTGAGCTTCTGCATCGGCAAGCAGAGGCAATATGTTGTCCACGTCTGTTTCTTCATTGTCAACGACGACGAATATAGCCTGCGAGATTTCTTTTAGGAACTCAAGCTGAACTAAGTGATCTCGGGCATCGCCGCGGAGATTTAAAATGCTAAACACCGTTTGGAAAACGTCCACATTTGATTTCCCACCAGGACAGAACGTACACGTTTCAACCAGTCCATCGGAGCACTTTCGAGCGATATCACCACATGCCATTTCTCGATGGACAAAGAAATCGTGTTTTTCATTGCTCAGAATCGAATTGAGCACTTTTGATTTCGAGACACTGCACTCTCCAATCCGAATGAATGAAATGAAAGGCATTTTGATGCTGACTAATGACTCCTCCATGCTGGATGCATTCTGCTGTAGTTTCCAGTTTTTCACAATTTGCCTCATGGCCCACAACATAAACGTGATGTTTCCTTTTCCCGAATCAGGCAGTAAGAGAGGCAAGGCAAACTGACACTGGGACATCTTCTGCATAAGCTCCTGCTGTAAGAAGTTGTCAGCGCAGAGAAACACCACGGTTATCATGTCCAGTGGATTTATCAAATCGGCTGTCGCATCACTGCCTGAGCTTCCTGTATTTTCATCGTCACTCGTATCTGCCTCTTCCATTCTACACTGGCCATATTCTGTGTTTCTTGCCCTGGGATTTGCTCTCATTACATTCCTGAGGAAATGTTGGGAAATTTCCTCAAGAGTTTTGGGATATTCCTCACAGCCAATTAATTTCAAAACGTAATTTCTTGATATTTTATGGGGGTAAAACTTGTCCAATGTAAGTTTCTTCATAGTAGTATGAAAGATTATTTTTGAAGACGCCATCTTGTCAACCTTGTCTTGACTGCTGTGTCCATGAACACTGAAATATAACAAGTAACATAAAGTTATACATTATTAATTCATATACAATGTTGCATTACATTACATTGTAACAGTGAAGAGGAGTCGTAGAATGGTTTAAGCACTTCTTTGTTTCACCAACGCACAGCAATACTCCTTCCAAGACCAACCCCGAACACACGTCCCACAGCCCCTTTTAACCCCTCAATCCTTCAAATTCTAAGCAGCTCTCAAACCCTCCGAATGAAGGCTCAGGATCAGTCCCATAATACTTTTGTGTTCGTGATGTAGTGAATTAATATGGACCCATCTCTTTTGCTCAGCCAGCTGGATTGTGGCCTCCAAATGTAACAAAAAATGTTTTGATACTTCTACTGATGCTCCTGCTGTTGTGGAGTGACTCATGCAGCCAGCTATGGCTACAGGGTTTGGTGGTACATGTTATTTATGTCGTTTATTGTGAAATTTTGGTCACAGTTCCTATGATCACTGTTACATTGCTATTATGGTTTTATTTTGGTGATTTAGAAAAGTTTTTTGGTTTGGCCATGTTTGTTTGTTGTAGTACGGAGTTAGAATGATGGCTTTAATATAAGTAGTCTTGTGGTTGTTGTTGTTGTTTGACTTGCATCCCACTGGGATTTTTTCACGGCGTTAGTGTTTATGTTTGTTGCAGTTGCACCCTATTCAAGAGCCTAATGGCTCACAGGGCTATACCAAATAAATGAAACTGAAACTAACCAGGCTCATGTGGAAGTGTAAGGGTCGCACGGCAGGGCACACTGAAGTTAAGTGGGGACATGGGGCCATACCAAATATGAAGTAATTAATGAAGAAAGATGGCGGTAAGGAAGCCTCCAAACAAGACAGGCGATTGGAGGAGATCTGAAGAAGGGATATTTGGCGGGAAATAATATTAAAAATACACCAATATTATCCTGAGGTTTTTTGGGTTAGATCGCGTATATATAAATGTGTTGTTAAACTCACCACCATCCGACAGCCAAAATCGCAATAACAGGTATTGCTATTTTTGCACATAAAACGGCAGAATGTGCAAACAATGTACATACGGAATATTATCCATGGCGTGATGTACATCAGGGCTGTCCATAAATGACGTCACGCGATTTTGGACGATTTTTTGACCCCCCCCCCCCTTCGTCACACGGTGACACAAAAGTCAGACCCCCCTTCAAATATGACGTCACAAAGCTCCGCCCCCCCCCCCCAAAAAAACATGCTTCAAATCGCTGTAAACTATTGTCATTGTAGTGCGTATTTAATGTGGCGCTGCACTCTGATGTTGTAGTAGAAAACATTTATTAAAAAGTCTATTTAATGAAGTAGAACGTGTTGTCTATATTTATTAAAAGTTGCGTCACACATCGTCACAAATGTCTGACCCCCCCCCCCCCCCCGGTGCGTGACGTCATTTATGGACGGCCCCTAATTGCTTAGCATGTCGCACGTCGGGCGCGTGTAGCGTGGTATGAGCTAATTTCGATTAAAATGAGTAGCCTCGTAGTGTGATGGGTCGCCACTCGCCAGGAATGGAGTTTGGGAAGCCATGCTTGACTACGGCGTGAGGAACGCTTACAGAGAGTGAAGGAGACATTGGCATCGCGCAGTGTAAGTGGCAGGTGCTGTCACAACACCAGCCATGTGGTGGCAGCAACGTGCTGCGCAGACCAAACTGGGATTACAGCTCACTGGTTGGGCCACATTTATGCTTCAGTCACGCGTACCTCAAGCCGCCATGCGTTGCGGTGTGACGACCACTCAATGAGCGAGTAGACGCACGGGAGCTACACATCATTGACAGTCTTAATTTGGAGCTTTCGTGACTGCAGGAATTATTCTTTGGTTCTTTCGGTTAAGTCACGTCTAAAAATAAAATAATAAATTAAAATAATAGCGACGTTTCGATTGCAACACAAGCAATCATCATCAGGCATAAAAGAAATAGCAATAAAAATCGAAATAGAAAACTATAGACAGACATAAGCAGACAGACATCACAAGGACACACAGAGAGAGGACACATATCGGCACAGAGAGAGGGGTCGTTTCTGTGACGGTCCCTTAAATATAGAGAGGGGGGGGCGGGGACGGAGAGAGGGAGGGGGCAGAGAAAATTTGCATATCAATGTGTGTACGGCAACGTGTTGCTGCTGCGCAAGTAAGATGACGACGTGGCGCGGCACACAAGCTTGAAAATTAGGAGAAAGGCACACTAAAATTAAATAACCTCGCAAAATATCGAAATGTGATGTAATACAACACAGAGAGTCGGTCAACACACAATTAACGCATAGCCTGGTTGATTACGTATTTCAAAGATTGCTAAGTTAGAATTTAAGTGTGAACATTTATTCAACAAAATCACATGCGCAATCATTGTCGTCTTCATCAAAATAAGAAAATTCATCATCATCATCATCACGGTTTCATCTTCTTGGTTCTTTCGGTAAAGTCACGTAGAAGGGAAGTAATAAAATAATAAAAATTCAACATAATAAAAACAATAAAATAAAATATGTTTTATTTTTATTATTTTATTACTTCCCTTATACGTGACTTTACCGAAAGAACCAAGAAGATGAAACTGGAATTATTTGGACAGATATGTAGGATGGATAACAACAGGAAAATGCAAAGTGTGTTGTTCGGAAAAATGGAAGGAACCGGAAAGATAGGGAGACCTAACAGAGAATGATATTGTCTATTCTGAATGGCATAGTTCCTTGTAGACACACACGTGTATTCATTGCGTTAATACTTGATATTGTCTATTCTGAATGTCATAGTTCCTTGTAGACACACACACGTGTATTCATTGCGGTAATACTTGATATTGTCTAATTTGAATGTCATAGTTCCTTGTAGACACACACACGTGTATTCTTTGCGGTAATACTTGATATTGTCTATTCTGAATGTCATAGTTCCTTGTAGACACACACACGTGTATTCATTGCGGTAATACTTGATATTGTCTAATTTGAATGTCATAGTTCCTTGTAGACACACACACGTGTATTCATTGCGGTAATACTTGATATTGTCTAATTTGAATGTCATAGTTCCTTGTAGACACACACACGTGTATTCATTGCGTTGCGAGAGTTGAAAAACCAGAAGGGGAAAACCCAATGAGTAATTTGAATGAGAAGTTGTGAAACAGGCTTGATGGCTGGGGATGATAACAAGTGGTAGGAACCTGTGAATTTCTCCCTTGACCTAACAAAGGCATCACCAGAAAGGCCATGAATGAGCACCCTGACGTTTTAACTGTGCGCATGACAGGAACCGACCACACTCAGCAGCTGAGCTGTTTTAATTAATAGGAAGTCTTGGCGTTTGGAGAGTCAAAATGTTCAGAATTACCAGTTTTCAGTTTAATTTATTAGGTAAAGTCCTGTGAGCCACGCGACTCTTCACTCGGGTGCAACCACAACAGACAAAAACATGAACAAGAAACATCTTAAAGTGACTACACGCAACAGAAAAATCCAGAAAAAACAGCAAAGTCTTTCAGAAAAAGCACCGCATTGCAACACTGTGTGCAAAAATCCCAGTGGGATGCAAGTCAAACAATAACAACCATTAGATAATTTAGATTAAAGCTATCAGGCTAACTCTGTACTTCAACAAACAAACATGGCTAAACCATACGTTTTCTAAATCACCAAAATAAAGCTATAAAAACAATGTAACAGTGATCATAGGGAACTGTGATTCAAATTTAACAATAAACGATAAACATAACATGTTCGAACAAACTTGGCAGCCATAACTGGCTGCAAGAGTCACTCCATAACAGCAGGAGCATCAGTAGGAGTATCAAACATGTTCAATGCACCTTTAAAGATCAACACACTATAATCAAAACTCAAGATCATACTTTGCAGCGGTCATCCGGAGCGATGCTTTGATTTTAGGCCACTCTGCATAGCAGTGGCAGCTAGGGGTGAACAGCTCGTCAAAGCAGTTTTGAGTGAAGTTAGTGATCCAAGTTGCAGTTTATTGGCGATAAACATAGTCATTTGATGATAGGCTGTACTGTTACATGACAATACAGCCTAGGGTCAAAAGCTGTTCTTATTAACAATAATCGTCTTTGTGTGTCTATGTTGTGTGTCTCTGTTTTTTCTCTCTATGCTTGTGTGCCTGTCTGTGTGTGGAAAAAAAGAACAGATAATTCACTGTAACATGATAACAAATGTAAATGTTAACAGCTTCAAAAAGTCAAAGAGTCTCCACTATCGTTGTCTACGAGTACCTGGAATCTTCTCCAGGTGGTCTCGAGAGCCCGGGATACACATTCATTGTGGTTATTGTTGCAAATTCTCAGAAGTGTTGACATTCTTCTGAAGCACACTGTACTTGGTCCAGATTGTGGACCAAGAAGTATCGCAGCTGACATGCATCACAATTAATAACAAACGGATTGTGAATTGTCGCGTTACTATGAGACATAATCGTGTGTTTATTTAATCACATGATCGTGGGATCTGATCATTGATGCTTTTCTAATCATTTAGTACACATTTATGGGAACGTACATTTGCACGTGTACTGAAGTTCAACTCTGATAAGTACTGTTCGATGTCAATTTAAGTTGATATTAAAGTTGCTTATATCAAGCAGGGTATGTGTGATTCTGTCCTAACTCATGCATCATATTTCTCAATTGCGAGAACTGTATCTGAATTCTGAGACCTGAGATAACTATCTTTAATTGATAAAGCGAGAAACAGTAATTGTTAAATCGAGAATAATTTATATTTTCATGATTGATAATACATACCCCGAGACAACGTGAAAACCAATAACTTGTGATAGAGCGATAATTAATCTATTAATTGTTAAATCGAATTCCCTAATGATCTTGAATTCATGAAGTCAGAACAACTATTCTTTAAGCATAATTGTCATTGATCATAGGCATAGTAATTAATAATGGATTTTAATCGCAATAATACATTGCATTTCAAGGCCGTAGCCATGGAGTCA